AGAAGAAAAAAAAAAAAAAAAAAGACAGAGAGAGAGAGACAGAGAGAAGAGGAACATAATTTACCTAGACAGGCAACCAGGTCAAATTGCGGTGTCCAGTGTCGGATACTTTCAGCGTCAAAAAGTGGACACTTTTTCGTTGTCAACTAACACCTGGCGGAGTCTATCTACTGTGGTATGTATGTACTAGTAGTAATGTATACAGAAAACAACATCCACATGTCGAATTAACTTTGTATTTACTCTGTACTTCTCACTCTTCCTTCACATGGACTATCGTAGTGATAGTATAGGTGAGATTTAGCCTGGGTCTGAAACATCTAACCATCTTTCTAATTGCTTTCGCCTTGGTTCGCTTTCGCCTGAGAAGCCAATCATAGTCCAGATATTAAACCAGCGGTGCGCCGACTGTCCGCCCGATGCAGGCGGTTCTCAGCAGCCCCTAGATTGGGCAAGAAGTTGTTGGCAATGTACCCATTGGGTACCTTAGGTACCGATCCATGAGGTCATGTTTGCTCGGTACACCCGACGTGGCCTGGTAGACGGTGTCAACTTAATCCGGCAGTTTACGAGTAACCTGCAGTAGGGTCTATGCCTCAAGCGGCATACGGTTGTTTAGTGGATATGGATGACAGTGGTATCTACTGCGGTTTGGTGGTTGATTGATCGGCACCTGGCGATGGCGGTGTGGCTGAGAACCTCCTTTCCCAGCCACGTGCCATGGCCCTCATTGGCAGGCAACGGTGAGGCGGCGATCCCAGGTGTGGCGGATGCCAAAACCCAGATGGAACCAAAGGCACCGTGCAATGTTCTTCAGCTCTTAACCCATTTCCCCCAACTACCTTATGATTAATGTCATTTCTCCATTCTCCGTTACTACCCAGGTTGTATTTGGTTGCCTGACATCAACCTTGTAAATGAGTCATTAGTCGAAGCCTAAAGATTTGATACCTCGTTACTACTACGCTTAGATTTGCGCAGTTGCCGCTTTCTGTGATTCAGCGCCTACAAATACACCGCGTCTCCATCGGTTACATCGGACCACGTGTGCAGGATACCCTTTGGTCGAAGTTATTTATTATCTTATTTTATGAAGCGGTCTTTGGGGGGGGGGAAAGTATATTATGATTACTTGTCTTCCTTGACCGTGTTCTCAGCATTACTACTTCTATTACCCACCTCGGCATAGCCCTTGAATCGAGTGGCGTTGCTGCCAAGACTGCTTAGTCATTAGTGGAACTGGATGCCTTGTTGTTACCTGAAAAATTCGGCACCCCCCGTTTTCCTGAGGAACCTACACCCTTCAGTGTGCCACTGAGAAGGACTCCAAGATCGACGCCTCTCTCTTTTTTCTTATTATAGCGTACTCATCTTCAACCTGAGCTCTTCACGACTGTCAACCTTTGAAATCAGATTATCATCCACGAGAGTTCCTTTCTTAGCTCGTCCTCATCTATCCTAACAACCCGCCTCATCTCAATTGACGGCGGGGTCCACTACGATATGGGAGACGGTTCTGATTATCCTAGCCCACGAAGCGAAGGTCCCGGCGGGCCTGCAACTGTCCTTGTTCCTGCTGCTCAAGAACCTCTCCCTCCAGCACCCAAAATGACTGATCAACTGTCTCCAAGTTTTATGGAAGGAACTCGTCCGCGACTGTCGGTGAGACGGGCGCGAGATCCACCCAAGAACGCTGCAGGCCAGATTTATTGCGACCATCCTGAGTGTCAGCACGCGCCTCCGACGTTCCGCCGCCCTTGCGAATGGAAGTAAGTACCTTCCCCATGCACTCCTTTGATTGCTGACGAAGCTAACCATGGCATCACCAATAGCAAGCACATGGACAAACATGACCGCCCTTACAAGTGCTTAGAACCTGGATGTGACAAGATTCAAGGATTCACGTACTCGGGTGGCCTTTTGAGACACCAGCGCGAAGTGCACAAGAAAAACATAAACGCCAAAAAGCCTTTGATGTGCCCATATGCCGACTGCAATCGCAGCACAGGTAACGGATTTACGCGTCAAGAGAACTTAAAGGAACACCTTCGACGCCGTCATATGCATACCGACAACGGACACGCGTCAGAACTATCTATTGTGCCAGTGCCTGAACTGGATGGTACCGCGGCCCTTCCAGTCACCTCGCCTGTCAAGCGGAAACGTGACTCGATCGATTCGGTCGAAATTCCTGACGAAGAAGAAAACGGCGTTGATTTGCGGAATGAAATCAAGAGACTGCGACGCGAAGCCCAAATGAAAGATCGGCGGTTGGAGGAGTTGGAAAGAATCGTTGCGGATTTGCAGCAGAGGATTCCGCAGACTGCCGTCTCGCAGGGATAGGTGGGCTCGGATTGTGGTCTCATGAGAAATATTAATCTGCAATACGTGTAGCTCTTCCACGAGTTGACATGTTTTCCTTTCTCTTTTCATTTGGCTTTGCTTTTACCCCTTTGTTATTTTTGCTTTGCATTCCACGGGCGTTTTCACATGCAGAGTGCGGGCCTTTGGGTTTGCGTTCAATGTTTACAACATCAGTGGGTGGTTTATATGGATCGATCTACATCTCAGAACGCGTGGTTTACAACAGGCAGCTCTGAAGAATCTGGCGTTTGCTCGGGGTTGATAATACGGACCCGGCGGTGTTATTATGGTTGTCTCCCTTTCTATTCCCTGAAATATACCCAGGCGTTTTCAACCCATCTCCTTTGTTAGTCTCAACAACCCCAAACTTGTCTTTGTATTCCTTTTCTCTCTTCTCCATACGACATTGTGGCATTCTGAATCGTGTCAACCAGTGCCTGTACACGGTGAAGAATGTATTGCCTTTTAGTGTATACGCATGGTATTTACAAGTACAGCTGAACAAGCTTCCCTAGTCACACTATCTGGCAGGGCTTATATTGGTCTTTCTCGTAAAAGTTCAGTTGTGCACACGCTGGTCTAGTAGGCATGGATTACTGTGTCTCGTGATTGTAATTGTCGCCCCTTTTGCTTACAGGCTCCTGATTTATTCCTTGTCACATATTTTCCTTTTACACTTACTATAGCGTGTCGGTCAGCTAAATCTGTCTTTCACATGGGAAGTAGCCCTGACCATACGATTTTCGTATCAAAATAAGGCTAGTGTATGATAGCCCTGCAATATCTGGAAGACTATTCGCCACAACGATGGTAAAAGGGCTTTAGTTCGTGGGTAAAGTCACTTATGACTCCAAATGACTCGTGATTAATAAGACTGTACGGTGTCTGACTCAACCCCTGAGTTGCCTCTGCGCTGCGCTTACTCCATAACTATTCGCAGTATTTACTAGATTTGAAGATGGATCATCTTATGGGAAGTCGTATGATAGTGTCATGTGAAGTTAATGCGTTGGGGGGGGGAACCTCCAGCTGCAGTACGGTACTTGTTATAGATCGAAAGAGGAATTGCCTTAGGTCTTGCTTAGGTTGATTATTGGTGTTTTCAACATTAGCCATGTTAGCCATGTAGTTTTATGTATATTCACAAAGCAAATTGTGTATATTGCTGAGTCAGCAGGCTTATGCTGTTGCGGCCTGGCGAGTGACTTGTCGCTGCCTGCCAAACAAAGCCATCGGATTTAGTTCACAGTAAGAATGGCGTATGCGATAACCAGGACAACAATGTCGGCTCTTTCATACCTGGTACACTGACATAATGGCTTTTCAATCTCAGATGGACATCACGTTTGATGCAAACAACTGTTGCGCTCTTTAAACCCCTCATAAGATTAGACTTGGATCTTACGCTCTAAACTTTTGGGCGTCCCTCATGAAAATTACACTCTGTACTATCTCTTATTGGCACTACGTGGATTGGCCTGTTCCTGACCGGTTCCTGACCGGTTCCTGACCGGTTCCTGACCAAATACAACTTAACTTTGAAGCATCTTATTACCCGTCCAGACTGAGGCCCAAAAGAAAAACATGGCACATTCGTCTCCTTTCACGGAGGTCCCAATGTCCCAACAAACAGATTCTCCGTATGTTCGGACCCAGCAATATACACGAGGCGCTGGCAGACTCCTCCAACAACCAGCCGTCCCAATGCAAGCCGAATGGAGTCTCCCCCAACTAGACCCCGTTACCTCTGATACTCATATCTTCCCTGAAGGAGAATTCGTCCCACAGGGGTTCTTTGAAAAAATCGGCCCAGAGTGGTTCGTTCCCGAACCAGAACAAAAGGAATGGAAGTACTACATGCGCAGAGAGGCCCAAAAGATTTTACCATTTCTCTACCTGGGTCAATATGCCTCCGTGAAAGACAGGCACTGGCTCAAGCGCCAAGGTTTCACTTTACTTTTGGCTATTCGAAACGAACGGTTTCTACACATCTGTGGCAAGAATGCAGCTGCCGAGCTGGGAATTGAAGCTGCGACTTTTGCCGTCCCGCAGATTCAGGATTTTGTATCCATTGGGCCTCATGTGATTCGAACCATCAATGAGCATATCTCATCTTCGCATACTCCAGTATCCGACGAATGGCCCTACAAGAAAGTTTTTGTATTTTGCGAGACTGGAAACGGTTATTCAGGCTTAGCACTAGTAGCGTACCTGATGGTAATGCTAAACTTGAAGCTGCACCACGCCTTAGCTGCGGTTCATATGCAGCGACTGTCAGTTGAAGCCGATGAACCATCGAGACAAATGCTAGCTTCACTGGAATCGATCGTTATTGCCAAAAGGAACGTTGAGGAGGTCAGACGAGCAGCCACAGAAGGCACAAGCTTGATGGTTCCTCCCCAGACTGTATGCAAAAAGAGGAGTTTTATACATCGAGATGAGGACGAGGCTATGGAAGACATCATGGATATGGGCGCAGATGAAGATGCAGCCTCTGATAGAAAGCCTGTGGCTCCATTCCAGGACCGTTGACAATGAATCGACTGGAACAGAATATTTGTTTTTCTTATGATGATTTGGTTTGGAATGGTATTGGTCATCATAGAATTCGTGAGGATGACGTTGATTAAACACCACTTCCTCTTTAACAATCTGCTGTTGCACCTCCTTTTTTTATTTCTTTGTACATTACAAGTTCAATGATCCTTAAGGGTACTGATCTTCAATCACCTGAGGTGACTTACAAACTACTGAACAATCAGCATTTTCTATTCTATTTAATTTTACAAAGCGCACTTGATAAATCTCAACCCGTTGTCTCCAGTCTAAGCCTAGTCCTTCCTTTATTCAGGATATTTATCCTTATTTGTCCGGTTTTCTCCAGGTTTTCACCGACTCAAATGTAGCCATGATTTTTGCTATTATTCACTATCCCTGAGGAGAGGGGCCCTTGACCCATTCACTGTCTATCGCTTCCAGCATCTCATGTATATTTCTCAGTCTGTTCGCGTCAAATCTAACCTACAATTACTTATTTATGGGACAGGAAAACAACCACCATGCGACTCCGCGATAGTATCCGCCCTCCTGAGCGCTATGAATCAGAGCATTTTTACACGTCGCTAGGTCAAAAGTCATTTCGCCAGCACAGAAATACAAACCGTCCTCCTTACATCGATTTCAACCCCGACCTGCCTCCCGCTGTCTTCCCCACTCTGGACTTCCCTCGCCCAGCGGTACCAGAGGCTGACCAAGGTGCACAGAGGAAATGGGGAGAAGAGGCCAATAATGCAGCCACTCCACAGCATGGTCGCGAGCAACCTGCCAGTCATGGCGAGACCAAGGATAACAGAGATACAAGAGTCGATCCCGAGGATATCCCTATCCATAAGGTTGAGAACTACGTTTCAAGCAACGGAGACTTGAACACGTTCTACGTCCAAAGTATGGCTACGATGGCTGCTGCAGACTCATCATCTGCGAGTAACGATTTGCACAATGAGACTGACGACAGTATCGATGCTTATGATGAGGTGAGCTGACTATACACTCGATGTACTCCACCATGGAATGATCGACAATGTGGAATATGGCTTTTCTATTAACAAAGTACTAGTCTACGCATGAGATGTCTGACCCTATGTGGAGCGATTTGTGTCCTGGAATACAAGTGGAAATCTTCGACAATCTTCTTCAGTACTACACTTGGAAGGACGCATGTCATAAGTTAAATTTGTCTAGAGAAGATCAGGAGGAAGTCGAAGAGCATATATCCGCCCGTGATAAGCAGATGGAACGGGAAGAATCTCTGATGAAGAATATGCGGAGGAAGCAATTGAGAGCGCTCTTGAAGATTGACAACAGCGCAAGACATCTCCAGGATTCACACCAGTTTGTTTTTCGCAAAATCTCTCGAGGGACCATTGGTCATCTGCGACTGAGTACTAGGCCAGACTATCTCATGTGCCATGCCAAAGAGGTCATGAATGCTAAGGAGTATTTGCGCCAACAAGGGCTAGACCCTAGGTACGCTGGGGACTGGGGTAACAGTATCAGCCCTACTCACCCCTCTGAAAACGACCAAGATCAAGACATGAACAATCTAAAGAAGCAGGTGAACTGCGCGCAATACTTGGAACTAGCCACAGATACGACAGATGATTACATGATGGACTTTGCTTTCGATGATAAAGCTCCGACTTCGATCCTGGATAAGCAGTCTTTTATCAATACAATCGGGACGGCAGCTATTGCTAGCGCGAGGGATATGGCACTATGCAGAGGTAACTTAAATGCAGCCCCAAGATGGCTGAATCTTCTTTACCAGCATTCTATACGGAACTACCAACCAGCCTTCCAGGAGAATAACCTTGTTTGCCTCAAAATCGGTACCGAGCGTGCCGCCCAGATTCACGATACTCAAACGATAGCTTGTATTCAGCCAGCGAAATTGGTAAAACGTTTTCCTCCCATTGATGCTATTTACTATGACCCCCCTTCATGGACCCCTGGAACTACTCAGAATAACGGAGCGGGGACTAATCCAACAATGCCTCCAAGACCTAGGCCAACTTTGAGCAGCGGACTACAGCCTCTACAGAGAACAATGGGTGGGAACTGGTCGTATAGCTCTTTTGAACCTCATCCAGCTACCTCTTCTAAGGGATTCCAACAAAAATTGGAAGAGGCACGACTGGAGACACAAAGGGCGAGAAGACGAGGAACGCAGCAACTTGCCGGTGGTAGAGGCTATGAACTATATTTTACCCCGAGGCAAAGCCCTGAAGGCATAAGTCGGTCACCCTCAACCACCACTGGGGGATGTATGTCACCTAATAGCTCGAACGAGCTTTACGGTGCATCGATGCCAAGTCATAGTACGGGATCTTCAAGAACAGTCACTTCTATTGGGGCTTCTCTTGATGATTCTACGGAACGGAGGACTGCTCCAGGAACTATGTGTTCGCCAAGCATCGCTTCCAATTCATATCACAGCGAAAACCTTTGGGCCCAGCCTAGTGTCACGCATACGATGGGTATTGATGCAGAACAAGAAAGACTGAGATATGAAGATGAACACTGTCCAACTGATGATGAAGTAGTTCTTTTACCTGCTGGAAATGGCTACTGATACGTCGCGATCACGGCCACATCCACATGCTAGCCTTGCAAGCAACGCTGAAATTCACGTGGCAAATTTCGCTAATACCCAGTATGAACAGTCAAATAAAAGGTCCTTGTTTCTACTTACCATTTGATTTGCTAAAGATCTTTGAAGAATTTTACACAGAATGTGTTGCATACTCCGAGTTGGTAATCCAGCGATATCATTCGAACGGATCGAGAACATGAGACGATGAGTGATGGGAATGGTAATACGATGAACTTCATGTCTTGGGCTGAATCTCCTTGTTTCTTTTCTGTTCATTTTTGTTAAATACAACCGCAGGCAAAAAAAAAAAAAAAAAAAAAAGAAGGAAAAAAATGTCACCACAGACAGCGTAAAAGAACCTAGAACAATCCATCATACTAATGCTGTAAGCAATCTTCTGCATGTTCTAGAAGCCCACTAAAATCAATCAAAAGTTGGCCCGTGCGCTGACGCGAAATCTGCGCGTCCGAACAGCAACGATTAGATTACAGGCGCGGCCAGATGGCAAAATGCGCCAGTTAGCAACGCCGTCCACAATTTCATAAGCGCAGATCTTGGTCGCGCATCTTTCAGTTTTCTTCATTTTATATATACTAATTCCAGCTGATACTCTTTTTTTGGCCCTTTTCTGATTTGGTGCCTGATTTATCTGATTCGCGCTTGCGCTAGAAAGGCAAAATCGACCACGAGAACAACCGCGTCCATACACCGTACGTACATGCTATGAAAAGTGTTTGGAATTTGACTGTTGGAAGATTCTGGGATCAGAAACAGGGAAACGCAGATATGTCAAACTCCGATACACCTGTTGAGTCGGAGGGCATGCGGCAAGACTCAACACAGCAGTCTTCGCCAGTGACGAACGCCGGTGAGATGGTTCCCGAGAAGATGGATGTGGAGGAGGAAAATACGGAGGAGATGGATGCCCAGGCTAAGGCGCTGATGCATTTGTTGAGTACTAGTGAAGTATGTGTTTTCATCTTTGCGCATTTGGTGTGGAAGAACATGTTGCTGATCGTGTCTTTGCGCGTCGAACAGGTTTTTGTGGCGATCATGGCGGATAAGATGAAAAAGCAGCAGGAGGAGGCGAAACTCGAAGCGGCTAAACAGCGAGAGCAGAAGAGTGCGGAGGCGATGTCAAAAAAGAAGCCCACCGCCGAGCCGGTTGGGAAACGGGCGACGCGCACGAGTGCGAGGCAGAGTGTGACGAAAGAACCTGTTGCTGAGGAGGAAGTGAAGACGGAGGAACAGGGTGCTGCGAAGTCGAAACGCGGTCGGGGCAGGAAAGCTGCTGCTCCTGCGGCTGCGAAGTCGAATACCATCTCCAGTTACTTTAAGAAGGCGGATGTGCAGGTTCCCGAGGATAATCCCACTGTTCAGGAGGCGCTGGAACATGCTGCGGATGAGTATGAGGCCAATCCTTCTGTTCTGGGTGGACAGGATCTGGTCGCTACCCAGCAGCCGGAATTGATCACTGGGGGTCAGATGAAGAAGTATCAGCTGGAGGGATTGGAGTGGTTGAAGTCGCTTTGGATGAATGGTTTGTGTGGCATTTTGGCAGACGAGATGGGTCTTGGGAAGACTGTGCAGGCGATTTCCTTGCTTGCCTTCTTCAAGGAGAAGAAGATTTCCGGGCCGTTTTTGATTGCGGCGCCGCTTAGTACTGTGAGTAATTGGGTGGATGAGTTCGCTCGATGGACGCCTAGCATCAAGACGGTCTTGTATCATGGAAGCAAGGATGAACGGGCGGAGATTCGACGCAAGATGATGAACATGAAGAATCAGCGGGACATGGACTTCCCGGTGGTTTGTACTTCCTATGAGATATGTATGAATGATCGGAAGTTCCTTGGGCAATACCAGTGGCGATATATCATTGTGGTATGTGTTGCGATTTCTTCATCTCCGGTTTTCAAAGTGCCGTTGCTAATGATTGTGCAGGACGAAGGACACCGCTTGAAGAATATGAACTGTCGACTGATTAAGGAACTTCTCACCTATAACTCCGCAAACCGACTCCTTATCACTGGCACGCCGCTGCAGAATAACATAACCGAGCTCTGGTCGCTGTTGCATTTCCTGCTGCCCGAAATCTTTAACGACCTTGACAGCTTCCAAAGCTGGTTTGACTTCTCGTCAATGTTGGACAGTAGCGACAAGACGAATGTCATCGAGCGCCGAAAGCGTACTCTAGTGTCCACAATGCACTCTATTCTGAAGCCGTTTTTGTTAAGACGTGTCAAGACTGACGTCGAGATGTCGCTTCCTAAGAAAAGAGAATACATTCTCTACGCACCTCTGACAGCCGAGCAAAAAGATCTCTACCGTGAGATTCTGAACGGCACAGGCCGTCAATACCTCGAAATCAGGGCAAGAGAAAGATTGATGGCCAAGAACGAGCGCCTAACACGTTCCGGGAGTCTGAAACGCAGAGTTGACAGCAGCGGTGACACAACACCGAACAAGAGCCTAAAGTCCAGTCGTTCTTCTACTCCAGCCAGCACGACCAGTTCCACACGGAGGCGAAAGGGGCCTCAAAGCTACAAGGAGATAAGCGACCGCGAATTTAACTCCAAGCTGCGCAAGCTCGAGCAAGGTATAGAAGACGATCTGGACATCGAAGGCCCAAGCGAGACAGAACAGGAGGAGATCGAAAGAGCAAAGACTTTCAAACTTGCCAGTATGTCATACTCTGCCATGATACGTACCCATTGTGATCTTGACGCTAACGTTACCAACAGAGCAAGAAGTAGCCCAAAAGAAAATGCAGAACCCGGTCATGCAAGCGCGACTAGCTTGTAATTCTCCGCATAACTTCTACTGGCCGTGGAATGGGGAGCCGGTCGACGAATCCCTAATAACAGCGTCAGGGAAGATGCTGCTGTTGGACCGGCTTGTCACGCGTCTTCTAGCCAATGGGCACAAGATCCTCATCTTTTCTCAATTCAAATCACAGCTGGACATCCTCCAGGACTGGGCTACTCAACTCCGCTCCTGGAATTGCTGTCGCATCGACGGCGCAATCAGCCAGACAGACCGGCGAGACCAAATCAAAGCCTTCAATACAGACCCCGACTACAAGATCTTCCTCTTGAGTACACGGGCAGGCGGACAGGGCATCAATCTCATGGCAGCCGACACTGTCATCCTCTTCGATTCCGACTGGAATCCACAGCAGGACCTCCAGGCTCAGGACCGTGCCCACCGCATCGGTCAGACACGACCAGTGATCGTTTACCGTCTAGCAACAAAGGGCACCGTTGAGCAAACGTTGCTCGAGAAAGCCGATTCGAAACGTCGTCTAGAGAGACTCGTCATCCAAAAAGGCAAGTTCAAGAGTCTTCTAGATCCCACGTCCCAGGATGACGTCGAGGATCTGAGAAAGGCTCTTGGAGAGGACGAGTTCGAGCGTTTCGAGGCCGGTACGGATCCGAGTCGTCTGCTGTCGGATAAGGATCTGGAAATCTTGACGGATCGCAGCGAGGAGGCTTATACTCGTGCTGAGAAGGGCCTGGACCACAGTGGACGGGCGTTCTTGGCTGTCGAGACGAAGAAAGATGGGCTTATGGCGCAGATTACTGGGAAGGGTTAATTTGTAATCATAGTAGTGATTGTAATAATAGAATGTTTCTCTTTCACTTTTCATGCTTGCGATGGAAATTGATATTTGATGAATTGATACAGGTAACATAGCAAATTGCACTTATCTATATAAAAAGTTCATTCTAAGTAAATACTACCAACTTCCTTGATAGTAACCGGGCAGTACGAACGACCCCAATAGTATTATATACAACACATCTTATTAACTTCCAACGAAGAATAAACACCGCCGTGACATCACAGATAAATATAACAGAAAGGCCCCCCAGTACCACCAGTAGTATCCAACAACTCCCTAATAGTCTTCGGAGGAGCCAAAGCAGCACTCATATCTACAACATCATCCAAAGTAGCATTCGGCGGTGACTCAACAATACCAGGAAGCACAGTCGGACCATTCACAACATAAGTGCGCTTCACAGGGTCCAGATTCTGCCAGGTCCAGAATGCCCGGTCAATCGCCGCATGGTGAAGAAAGAAAGCCGGGTCACCGGGGGAAGCAAAAAAGTCCTATAGCGGCAAAGTCATGTCAGCAATCGAGAATATATCATAGAAAGTCCGATGACGGTCTCGAACGCGGAGAGAGAGAGAGAGAGAGAGAGAGAGTAGCATTCAAACGTACACCACCAGGATCACCACCTATGGTATAGTGTCCACCGCTATGCAAACCGAGGAACCCGCGCGGAAAGTCGCCCTGCATTGTGGTCTCGTAGTCCCAAATATCTGTTTCGTTGACGATCAAGTCCACGACTTGCTTGGTTGTAGTCCATTGGGCGGCCTGCTTGGAGATGTCTCTACGGAGACACCGGGGGTTGTAGTTCAGGCCAGTACCGTTTTGGGCGACGAGACCTGGGATCTTGAGACTTGGGAGGAGGGGGCCGAGGTTCACGGTGAAGCTTTTTCGGGAGAAGAAAGAAACAAGTGTGTTAGCTGTGGAGTTGTAGGATTTTTTTTTTTTTTATTTATTTAATTAGGGTTGGTGGAAGCAAATAGCTTACTTCTTGAATGGACCAGATTTGACGCAGCCGCCTCCGTTTGAAGGCTGAAGGAAGATTCCGGGCGCAGCTTCGGTGGCATTGTGGGGGACGAATGCGCCGTCTCCTGACATGCTGTATTCGGAGCCATCGAAAATGGGCGAGTTGACTGGGTCGTCGGCATACTTGTTCCAGGCCCAGTAGGGCTGAGTGCCGGTGTAGCCGCACTCGTTTCGGAGGGCTTGCTCGTAGGCCCAGGTGAAATAGCGGTGCCAGGTTAAGAAGTTGCCCTAATAGGGGGGGTCAGTGGGGGTATTCGCTCAGGGGTCTTCAGTGCGCGAGCTGGAGTCCTACCGTTGAATGGATGAACATCGTCTGGTTGATGTGCACAGCTACGAAATCATCGTAGCGGGAGCGAGCCCCGGGAGCGAAGGAGGGGTCGGACTTTGAAGGCTTCGAAGATAGACAGAGAACGGCGTCAATGTACTCCCGGCGTTCCTTCTTGGACAGAGCTCCCCTATAAACGGTACGGTTCAGTTATATATTGTCATTTGCGCATTGGAGAAGTCCAAGGTCCATACCATTCTCTGCGAGCTGACGCGGTGTAGGGGGTACAAGTTCTGCTGGCTTCTGGATTTGTGTAGTGATATCGGATTTGGTTTCCCAGGGCCTTTCCAGCGAGTACATCCCATTGATCCATGGAAGTGGGAGATGCTGTTGCTGGCGATAGGGCAGCAAGAGCTGCGACGATTGGGATCCAACTGCGCATGTTTATGTTCGCCTCTTCTGAGGATGAGCACCGCAATGGGAAGAGAGTAATGGAAGAAGAAGTTTGAGACTGGAAGGAACCGGTCAAGAGGTTTTTTTTTTTTTATTACATCCTGACTAGCTCTGTGTGAACTCTGGACGGAGTAGATAGCTTGACTCTAGATTGCCGGTTAGGACAGCCGGATATGCGACCGCCAATTGAGGCCCCAAAAAGTCATACGACTAGGGCTAGGAGGGTATAGCACTTAGACATTTACTATTTGTCGCTTGGAGGCCGGGCGTGGACAGTGAAAGCACTGACAGAGACATCGCTTTAGTGGGACGCGAGAGTCGGAATGCGGAAATTAGTAGAAATAGGACTAATTAATAAAAAGAGCCGGGGCCAGACTGCTCATGGAGATACTATTTAAGTACACAATATCTTATACCGAGAAGCATATCATATCTTTGACCGTGTCCTGGCAACGGTAGAGAACCACTACTGCATTTAGAAGAGACTCCACAGTATATGTGACATCTTAATTGTCTCTACATAGTAGATCCCAAAAAGAGGAAAAGAGGGAAAAGCAAAGAAGTCTTCGGGGACAGATTCGAACACATTGAGGTTCCAGTAGCGGCAGAGACCCAGTTGACAGCTGGCTAGTGCGAACAGGGATCTCTGGAGCTTCATTTCGAATGTATTTAGCCGTCCATATCTGCGGCTAGTGTGGGTTGGATGTCTCAAAGGATCCTCCGATGCCAAGGCACTTTCCTCGTTTCAAAGATTCGCTAGTAAATTAGTTAGTTCAATCGGTTTAGTCAAGGCTGTCAAAGGTAAAAGCGAAGTTCCTTTGCCGCATGGCACTACGGTGCGTGTTCGTGTTTGGATCGTACTTGAGGCTTTTGGTTGTCTGTGGGAAGGATTCTATGAAACCGTGCTTGAGCTTCGGTGCTATGCTATACTAATAAATTTTCAAGGCACACGCTTTCGTGCTATATTTCCCGAATACTCTAAGTAAGCCACTGTAAAGCAATTTATATTGGGGCTTACAGGACTTCGTATAGCCCGCATTAGCGGGGGCCTAAATGTAGATTAAGCCACTAGAACTTGGTTAAAACTTAAGCCCCCAACGGTTCAACGGACTAATTGCTCCGTTCCTATACTTCGTACTTTATATTAAGATATATTAAGACTTGCCTTATTACCCGCTCAATACTACCCTATCGGCTCACCTTCGGAGCACTTCCCTGCAGGCACTAGTCAATGAACCGATTGCAGTATTAACTGCTCAATCGCGACACCGTGCGCCTTCTGCCCGAAACTTTACCCATACCACGAGGAAGCACAACACTGACAATTTTTGTTATGGAAAGAGGAGGATAGTAATTAAAGTAGAAAAGGATGAGACGGAAATGAATCCAAGAATTGAGTTATAAGAGTTTAATTCTCTGTTAATATCGTGTTGTAATAGAATGGCCAGAGTCTCGGAGCCTATAGTGGAAGGGTTAGGGCTTGCTTTCATAAACCTCTCCGCCGGGAAGGTACACGCAATTACATTATTCGATTCGCTTTCTACTCGTGGACTATATAGAATCCCTGCTCGTTACCCTTGCTAGCTTCAGTTTCATATTTAATAAGTAGCGGCGCAGACAACTTGCATCTGGTAGGCACCGGTTAGATTCCTCCAGTGGCTGGACATACCCGTTTCGACAAGGCATAAGAGCTTTCATTAAGTTCTTACAAGCCGATGAAATACCGATCCTTAGGAATAATTCAACTGGGTTCATCCATATGATCAAAATAAACTTACACTCCTTGTATCTCCGAATGTGTCCTGTATTTGTTGGAAGACGCTAGTGCTTCCCTAGAGGAATAGCCCTATACAGGCTTAACTTAGAATACAGAGACTCAGCTCTCTACGAGTAACTCAGTTTATGGCGGTCATGGAGATTCCTCTCTGTCTCCATCGAGATCATGATCGATATCATGCATTCTAGCGGGGCTCTACTACCGAGACAAGCAGCAGCAGCAGCAGCAGCAGCAGCATCGGTAGATCACCCCAACGACAGTCGAGCTCCACACATCCTCGCCATTATCGGATCCCTGACAGGTCTATCGGGCTTACTGGTCGCGTTACGCTGCTACGTGCGCCTCTTTGTCCTCCGCAAGTTTCTCCCAGATGATGGAGTGATCGTTGTATCCTTGGTAAGTAATACAACCCACCAGGTACTCTCAACTAACTTCTACACAACAACTTTTCTGACTAAATAGGGGTATAGTTATGCGCCTTCGGGGTCCTAGCTTGCTTCGTTGGTGAGTCACACCATGGAGTCGGCCTCTATTCCGACGATATAAAGCCGGGAGATTTCCAGATCCTCAGCGAGTACATGTTCTACCACGCCATTGTCATAGTGCTTGGTATAAGCCTGGTCAAGGTTTCGTTGGCGCTCTTCTTGCTCCGGTTTGCTTCGCCCAATAAAAGCCTGAAACGGTTCATTATCGGGGCGCTTGGTGAGTTGGGTATCTGTAGGCATACTCAATACATTACTGACAATGAACAAGTGTTTCTTATTATCTTTACCATTGCGTGTATCTTGACGTTGATCTTCCAGTGTCTTCCAGTCCGGGCGGCTTGGGATTTCTCATTAAGACAGAATGCCATGTGTTACTCGATGAAGACTTATCTGTCAATTGGAGAATTCAATAGTGGTATGTCCTACCCTGTCACACATACCCTGTGAACGGGGAGGAACTCATAATACTTGACTTTAGCAATCAACATCGCGACGGACTTTGTATTCGCGACACTACCCGCATTCATGTTCTACAAGGTTCAAGTAAACAAACGGACCAGGGTCTCGTTGATGGGTATCCTCAGCCTTGGTTACTTGTATGTGGTTCTCTTCTTCATGAACCTTAGCCTATCTATCTATACCTTCCAGCTAACCAAAGCGTCTCACAGCGCCTGCGCAGCCGGAATTGTGAAGACCGTTCTCCAGAGCCAAATCTTCGACGAGCCAGATCCATATCGGTACGCTTCTACCCTATATCCCTGGAAGCGGGAGTAGCTGGAAGACAGCTAATTTTCTGATTCTGACTTTTCAAAAATCCAGTGAATGCCAATACCTCATTTGGAATTGGTATGTCTGTTCCTATCCAACCCGCATATCTCACCTAACGGGTCCTCCATTATCCACCAAAAGCTGACTACTCATAGCATCGAACTAAATGTCGGTATCATTGCCGCGTCGTTCCCGACTATCAAGCCCCTCGTGAAATCTGTCATCGGGACGACGCTGAGTTTCACTAGTGGTGTGCGCAGCGGGAAACGCAACGGACAAGGATATCATGGGCGGTCGAGTTATATTATGCATTCGCTTCAGCAGAACCGGACCGTGAACGAAGACCAGAAGTATAGTGTTCAGATCGGGACCCTTGATGGATCTGATAGGGGGAGTGAAGAGAACTTGACTCAGCGACCTCGTCGTGGGTCTCTGTCGAGGATAATACAGACTACGGAGGTGATTGTGCATAGTGAGGAAAGTGCTGATCTTGGGGTTATGAGGATTGGACCGGCGAGGACTGTTGATGATCGTGTATGACCTTTATTTGTTCGTCTATTATGCTGGCTTTCGTTGGTGGAAAAAAAAAGTATGCTGTTTAGTAGCATCAGGACGGGTTATATACTGTACAGTTAATGGGCTTGCCTGGTATGTAATGTGACAGGGACTGGTCGATCCTCGAATTAATCAAATCATCAAAAAGCAAAGAACACATCATTAAGCGCCTGGGCTCCTCGCCAAAATGGCTGTACATCAAAGAAAAGGATCACGGAAGACCTCTCACGGGTAAATCAAGCAGTACCAGGGAATTGGAAGTACTCAAAAATATATTTCAGAAGGGAAAACAGGACAGGTTGGAACAAGACTACTACCGTGACACCTTCTCTTCTTCGATCTGTCTTCGTAGGTCGGCGAGTACCTCATTCCGGTTGGCAAGGTGGCTTCTAAGACCATCTACCTGCTCGCCGACGGCTTTCACATCCTCCCTGAGCCGCTCTAGGTTTTGGCCTTCCTTGGACCTTCCAGTACCTTCCCTCAGTTCACGAAGCTCACGTTCCTTGTACTCCAGAAGCTGAAGCGCTTCCTTTTTGATTAAACCCCAGCTGGTCCTGCCATCGTTCTTGGGTTTATCTCCATGCCCTTCGGAGGCTTGTTGTGCAGAATTCAACTTGGTCTCCAACTCCGCCAGCTCGCGCCTTAGACGAACCTTCTCCCATTCCTCATCCTGAATTGTGTCGCTGAAGTTTGTTCCTTTGGGAGTATAGGACGATTTTCCTCCGGCACCCAACCGACTCAAGTACGTATCTCCAAACTTAGACTTTCGACCAGTTGATGTCTCCGTGTCTCCGTCTGCACCCCATTTCTGTGCCGGACGAGCATTATCGACCTGATAATCAATCTTATTGTTTTCAAACGAGGCGCGGAGGGAAGCAGGGACAGTGCGGGGGATGCGGAAGCCCTCGTGTCGGTAGTTCAGGATATGCAGGAACGCAAGAGTGGCGTCCTTATTAATTGTGTGGGATGCGGAGGGGTTGACCAAATTCCACGCAGAGCGGACATCGGTGTCGGGGACATCAAGCGAATCGTAGAGTGGTTGTAATGATTCAACTGTACGGGAACATCTACGATTAGTTCGAAACGCGAGTGGTTAAGGGATACGGCCCCGCTTCAACGGGGAGCGCTGACGTACATGCGATTTCACCACGTTGGTTCCTGTTGGCATTGTATATCTCTTCATATTTGGACTTGTCGGCGGGTTTCATGTACCATTCAAATCCATCTTTCAGTCCAGGAGTATCATCTTCGTCTTCTATCCGTTCGAACTGTTCCGGTTGAGTGCTCAATGCCCGGGTTGCATGGACTAAATGAGACTTGGATTCAGGGACGAGCCAATCGGGTAAAACTGCTGGGACAGTTTGTAATTCCTAGTTTAAACTGAACTTTAGCAGTAGCACTTAAAAACGCCATGGATTGTGACAAAAGCACCGAGCACTCCCAAGGAGGACAGTATCGGGCAGGTAGAGGCGCACGGAAAGCATGGAGTAATAGGGGAGGTAACATACACCGTTGACCAGGTCGAACACTAATCGCATTGCGACACAAAACTCCTCAAAATCCAGTTCCCCATCGCCATCCACGTCGGCTAAATCCCAGACCTTTTCCAGTTGTTCATCGCGAAGCCGACTGTTCCTGAGCACTGAGGCGGCCTGAGAGTTGTTCAGACGGGGTTGACCATTTGCTAATGAAGAGAAGATCTCCCAGTATCTTTCTATTTCCCATTGCTCAATTTTTTTATTTGACATGATGTGAGCGACTCGGCAGACCAGTAGGGACAATGTTGTTATTGAAACCGAGTAATGAGAAGCGACTATAAAGGATGTTTGGCTGGAGATGCTCACGGGTTATGGAGTAGTTAGCCGTTTCGGGCATCCCGCGGCGGGCTCCCATGGGGCACTCGAGTCTCGGATCATGTTAAATCCGGCAGGTGAAATGCAGGGCACCAGGAACCGTTCAATTGCTCCATACTTCGTACTACGTACCTACAACTGTAATACCATGGGATCCACTATGTTCATGGAAAGTTATACTTACTCCATACGTATACCATTAGTAAAGTCTTAGTATATATCTTACAATTAACGCGAAATGCTCTCCCAAGTCTATGTACCATACCCATAGCCACCATCACCGATAATAGCAGCCATAACTTGACTGTCCAACGCAAACACGTGGACAGATGCACAATTAGTTACTCTATGTCTGAGTCGTTCATTACTCTTTTTCTTTTAAGTTGTTTTTCTTTTCGTCCTCGCCCGAAGATGAGATATCCGTTCTCAACTTCTCCTCGACCTGGACAATAGCTCGTTCGGCTTCCAAAGCAAGCTCCGGTGCTTCAAGGATTGAAGCTAATTTCTTAGCATCGTCCATCCGAAGCAGCAATTTGTCGTCACTTTTCTCCACGTCCTCTACCATACTTGAGATTGACTGTTCAGTGTTAGACATTTCTAGCGCCCGTGAAACCCGCTTCGCGTATAGTCGTTCCAGTGCTGGGTGCGATATAGGATTCAGAAGGTCCTTCTCGACCAAGAATTCCAGATGTTTGGATCCATTTAATGCTGCTGCCAGTCAGCAATACCGCTGCAAGTAGAAAGGTGACAGAAGCGCACCTCGCCAATGGGACCATCCTCGATACACAAGATAGAAGAAGGGAATGTTAGGTATCCTATCGTCTTATCATTAGCTCAACTTGTCATATATCAAACTCCCTTTATGAAAGTTGTCTAGGGAAGAGCTTAGCTTTCATACAATGGAATGAGTCCAATTGGAGCTGTGAAAGGACTCGCGATGAAGCTCCACCACATCCTCTTACGATGTAGGTCCTGCCTATCAGTAGCAATCTTGTGCAAGATAGACTTGAGCTTTTCGGTTTTGACCGCATTTCCCGGGAAAAGCACATCTATCTTCTTCGACCCATACAATTCATCAAGTCGTCGCTGAGCATTCAGTGAAGGAATACTCTTGAGCCCCCATTCTTCATAAGGAATCCGCTGTTGGACCTTATTTCCCCACACAACCAAGTGTTTTTGCCAACCCTTCTCAGCTTCCTCCCATTTAGCCCATGTTTCGGCAGCTTTGTTTGTGATTCGATCGAGTATGGAAAGCTCCTTTGCATGATCCCGACGGAGCGGTCGAGCATATATCAGGGCCCGTCTCGTCGAGATCGGAATCACGAAGAGTCGCATGGCAGCGTTTCGTCTTTGGCTTTTCCCCCTTTCTTTTTTTTTTTTTTTTTCTTTGTCGTTTCGGGTAATTCAAATGAGGAACACAGGGAATTGTTGAAGACGGTGAGGGAGTACGCGACTAGTGATCAACTGAAGAAAACAACCGATTCAAGGGAGCTTGTAAAAATAACATTCCTTCTTCTTAAGTGCGCTTAAGATTAGTTTTCTCTTCTTCTTTTAGGGTTTTTGGTCTCTTTTGCCACTTGATAGGTATAACTGGTAGAAGGTGTGGCTGATGGTTGTTTGCCCGCGGGCGGTAATAAGAGACGTCATTCCGCACCCAGCGAAAGGATTAGCGCCGTAATTATCAACGGAGCATTTCCCAAGAGGGATAAATTACTTCTCTGGGTTTAGCAGCACTAAGGAACTATTACCACCCAGAATTGTTTCTCTCCCTCATTCTTCCCCAGCCCCCCAAGGCTGTAATTGCCGTGGTCGTACACTTTCTTGCGGTCTTATTCTAAACTAATGACCTGCTCTCTCAAAGGGTCAAAAGGTTGCCCGGTTTCCAGAGGAACGCCGTGTTCTCGGGCCTGAGGGGGCTGTGAGGCGATGCAGGCGAGACCCATTGCCTTCCCATAACTTCCGACAGCCGCAGCAACCTCATCTGGAACGACCCATTGCACTAGAAGGCGATGGCACAGGATGCGCGCATTTTGCGCGCACTTCCTCCAGGTCCAGGCTCGGTCTTAGATTCTCAACTAAACGAGAAAACAACCAATACAGAATGGATGTCTGGAGGCATCAACCACGCTCATAACGGGCAAAGTAATCATGACCATTTTCCCGAACTTCCTCGCCATGGCGCGCTGGAATTGTCGCCTAATGCCTTACAGACGCTAGAGGAAGCGTCAACGGAGGATGGTCAGGATGATGTCATGTTAGAAAAGAGATTGCGAACTCTTCCGGGTGCGTAACATACTCGAGAAACTTCAGCCACCTCTAGCGAAAGCTTTACTGATAACAATTTATGTAATAGCTTGGATCCGATCTGTCGATTACAAGGAACCTGAGGGCGAATCTTCTGCCGCCTCGCGACTATTACCTTCGCATCCGGATGATGCCGTTGTCGCTCAACATAACCACTCGCCCTATACGACTGCAAGAGTAGATTTTGCAAGTCGAGGAACAAGCTTGGAGGAAGGGCGCGCGACATCGCCTCGCGAATCGCGTTGGAAGAATTTCTCTAAATTAATTGCCTACCCAAGGGACCCAGGTGTTGAGGAAAAGCTTGTGACCCCCGAATGGCTGAATGAAAACCATGGTGACTACTCACAACCATGGCGCGGAAGACTTGAAGAATGGAGTGGGGAGGATACAGAAGATCCGCTGAGAATGAAACGGCGGAGAGAGATTTGGTTCAAACGCTTCCATCATACCTTATTGAAGAGTCCTATCGTACCCTTGGTTTTTCGCCTAACAGTGTGGGTCTTTTCGCTCACTGCGCTTGCGCTTGGAGCCTCTATTCAGCACATGTCGCATCAGTATGCGCATCCTCAGGGCCCCTCTGCGCTAATGGCGATTATTGTCGATGCCGTGGCCCTGGTTTACCTGGTGTATATTACTTGGGATGAATATACTTCCAAACCGCTGGGTCTTCGCTCCCCATCGGCCAAAGCACGGCTTGTCCTTCTCGATATTTTCTTCATTGTCTTTGACTCTGCCAACCTAAGTTTGGCCTTTGAGTCACTGTCCACAGTTAGTGGCGCATGCACCGTCGGTGAGGTTAACCAGCAGGTCGCTCCTAAGAACAATGCAATCTGCGACCGACAAATTGCACTAGCCAGTGTTCTATTAATTGCTCTTTTGGCTTGGCTTACAACATTCGCCATTAGTGTTTTAAGGTATAGCCATCTTTCCCTGTCTTTCTCCACAATGCGCAGGACTAATTGCTTTAAACAGACTCGTAGATCGCGCTGCACAGTGATGCTCCTTTTTTGCTTTCTAACATCTTATCTTGCGCTATTGCCCTTACAATAGTTGCTTGCGCCGCTCTTTCAATCTATGAGGCCCAGCTCAAGGTCCCCCTTTTTCCCTTCTTTTCCCTCTTTTTTTTTTTTTTTTTTTTTCCCTTCTTCTTGATGGTGGGTCTGCCGTCTCCGTTTTCTTCAACCAGCACTACTCCACTTTACTGGTCTCACCTTATCCCCTTCTTTCTTCCAATTTTTATTTTCTTTCTTGGCTTCTTTTTGGTTTCTAGGCTTGGGGAAAGTCTTGGGTCCTGGATAGCAACGGCCATGCACATGTGATGATATATGTATATATATATTAGTAGAATGACGGAATATAAGCTCAAATGACAAACGAAGAAGAGACTATCGCCGAAAATATGATGTTAAATATGAAGAACGGGACCATCGGCTCCGTACAAGGGATCGCGATGGAACCAGTCGAGCTTTTCGATAGCCTTAACCTTTCTCTCCTCACCCGGCTGTCCATAGCACATGTCCCAGTGTTTATTTCGAGGATAGGCACCCACCATGCTGAAACTCTCCGTGCCGAGATCATCTAACAGGCGGTGGCCTACCCCAGCGGGAACGATGATGAGATCACCTTTCTCAACCGTTGGCTCAAAACGACTGGGGTTTGCTTCACCGCCAAAGCAGAGACGAGCGCGTCCGGAGACCACTCCCAAAACCTCATGCGTTGTGCTGTGGAAGTGCGTTTGCTGATACATAGTATAAATCCACTGTGGTTCGACCTCGCCGATTTCCTCCAAGCGCGCCTGAAGCTGACTTGAGGACGCATCAAAAGCGTGGTGATATATCATAAGCGGCTTAGACTGGATGGATGTGTTGGGGATGTCTTCCCATCCCGGGATTTGACGAGTGGTAACCTCGATGTCGGACGGGGATCTGAACGACATGGTTTCCTTTCCGGTCAAATATGGTTGTTTGCTGCATTCAAGCGGGTGGTGAGGTTCTGGAAGTTCTTTGTATTCAGCCCAAGTAAGGGTTTAAAGGGTTTTCCAGATATGGAAAGTTACCATGACGTCATTTGGGGTAATGCTTGCGGTTTTTGATCCGAAAGTTTCAGTAGACCCGAATCTCTTGTGTTGTTCATACTCCTTGAATCCCCCCTTCTCTTCTACTACCCCAGATAGGGCATTTGCTACGGTTTACCAATGTGTGCCTGTCGCGACCGTACATTCAAGGGGAAGTTATTGCTGTGTATCAAGGGGAAGAGAAAGAAAAATCAAAGGAAAGAGACCTTCATGAGCACGGTAGTTGACTGCATCATGCCTTGTAATGAAGGGCATCTTGAGACCTAGATTGATTGGGTAACAAAGAAGAGCTCCAAAGGGAACTTAGCAAATGGAAAACAAAATAATGTCTACTCCATATAATATTGGGAATATACCCAGCGCCATTAGGTAGCAGTCCTGAAAGAATTGAAGGTGTTGGTTGCCTAACTATCCTTCTTAAACCCCATAAAATCTAGATTGAATCAGATCGTTGTGCAGGCCAGCTGCGTTGACCGCCTACCGCAAAGGTCCATAAAGCGATCCATCCCCCCACGGATGTCTGATCTCGACTCTCACTACCGCCCAACGCCACGCTGACACCTGTGTCTCTCTGTATTTTTCGTACTTTGAGGCGTGTTTGTGGTTTGCTCTTACTACGCTCCAGCTCGGACTTCTGTTCTGAGCCCCTATTATTGTGACCCCCTAGTCAGTTCCTTCCGTTTTTTTTTTGCTATCTCATAGCGCGCGGCTATCCTCCTGCCTTGACGGTAGTGTCTGGACTGAACGTCGCCAGTGCTGTCATTGCCCGCTTCTGGAGGCGAGCTCATTTACCGAAATCCAAAAAGTAGGAAGGTCCTAAACCCTTGGAGTGCCACGACAAGCCTTTAACACCTTCGAAACTCCATCTCATCTATCCATCCTCGGCTCGTCACGCGTGTGTCATCTGTCTGAGTGTTCGCCATAGCTTCTGCGAGAACTGACGCCCTCGTTTCGCAGTCATACTCCCTGTTCGCCAAAGTCATCCCCGAAAAGCACCATGCCTCCCTCCCTGATTCCCCAGACACCTCACAAGGATGACTTGGATGAAACGTGAGTCGCTCATACTCGAATGACGCATTGGATAACTTCAGGGGCGCCATATAACGGATGGTAGGCTAACTCAAGCAGATGGTCGTTCCTGGAGAAGGGCGTTGACAGTGTGATGCTGAAGCTGGAGGAGGGAGTGGATATGAAGACTGTAAGTCCTCTCGGATCGCTTAGTTTGATCCCTTCTGGTGAATGGGAAAGGTTTCCAGCTGCATACTGACAATTCACTTGGACTCCTAGTACATGGCTTTGTACACGTATGCCACCTTTTTCTATCATCTTGGATACGACTGACATTCTGAGCGAAGCGCGGTTCACAATTTTTGCACATCACAAAAGGCTGTCGGCAATGGCCATGGATTACAAGCACATCGCGGTGGTTCGTCTTCATCAACGCACAAATCCTCAAAGTTATACCGGGCCCCTGGATCTAACACTACTTCAGCACATCTGCTAGGAGAGGAGCTATACAAGCTGCTTGGAGAGTACCTTTCACGTCACCTCGATGCTGTGCATCACGAGTCTAAGGGTCACGCCGAGGAGGCCCTGCTAGGGTTCTACATCCGCGAATGGACCCGTTACACGACAGCCGCCAAGTACATCAACCATCTTTTCGGCTATCTCAACCGACATTGGGTCAAGCGGGAAATTGATGAGGGTAAAAAGAATGTTTACGACGTGTATACTCTGCACCTCGTTAAGTGGAAAGATGACTTCTTCATGAAGGTACATGAGAAGGTTATGGATGCAGTTTTGAACCTTGTCGAGAAGCAGCGCAATGGCGAAACGATCGAACAGTCGCAGATCAAAAGTATCGTCGATTCTTTTGTTTCTCTCGGACTGGACGAGAGCGACAGCTCCAAGTCGACGCTTGAAGTTTATCGGATGTTCTTTGAGAAGCCCTTCATTGCGGCTACCAAGGTCTATTACGAAAATGAGTCGCGCCAATTCGTGGCAGAAAACAGCGTGGTGGAATACATGAAGAAGGCGGAGGCTCGTTTAGAAGAAGAAAAGGCTCGTGTGGGCTTGTATTTGCACCCGGATATCTCGAAACATCTTACCGACACATGTTTGGATGTCCTCGTTACTGCCCACTCAGAGCTACTGCGTGATGAATTCCAGGTTCTGCTGGACAATGAACGTCAAGAGGACCTAGCTCGGATGTACCGGCTTTTGTCTCGCATCAAAGAAGGCCTGGATCCCCTGCGAACGAAGTTCGAGACCCATGTTAGGAAAGCAGGTTTGGCAGCGGTTGAGAAGGTTGCAGCGGAAGGCGAAGCGTTTGAACCCAAAATGTATGTGGATGCTTTGTTGCAGGTACATACAAGATACCAGAGCCTGGTTAACGAGGCCTTCAATGGCGAATCGGAGTTTGTGCGCTCCTTGGACAATGCTTGCCGCGAGTTTGTCAATCGCAATAAGATCTGCGCGTCTAGTTCGACGAAATCACCGGAGCTGCTGGCTAAGTATACCGACTCCCTCCTGAAGAAGGGATCCAAAGCTGCTGAGGAGTCCGAGCTGGAGGAGATGCTAGTCCAGATTATGACGGTCTTCAAATACATTGAAGATAAAGATGTCTTCCAGAAATTCTACTCGAAGATGCTTGCTAAGCGATTGGTGCATGTCAGTTCGGTGTCCGATGATGCGGAGACTAGTATGATCAGCAAGCTCAAGGAGGCCTGTGGTTTCGAGTACACCAACAAGTTACAGCGCATGTTCCAAGATATCCAAATCTCGAAAGATCTCAATGCCAGCTACAAAGATTGGCAAGACAAGGTTCTTGATGACGACGATCGGAGGAAGCTGGTGGATGCACACTTTCAGATTCTGGGAACTGGATTTTGGCCTCTTCAAGCTCCGTCGACAGACTTCCTTGCGCCGCCAGAGATCGTCAAGACGGCTGAGCGATTCCAAAACTTCTACTTTGACAAGCACAATGGTCGGAAGCTGACATGGCTTTGGCAGCTATGCAAAGGTGAAATCAAAACTAACTACATCAAAAACACAAAGGTACCCTATACTTTCCAAGTATCAACCTTCCAGATGGGCATTCTTCTCCTTTTCAATGAGACCGATACCTTAACATACGAGGACATTCAAAAAGCTACCACTCTTGCTCCTGAAATTCTTGAGCCGAACTTGGGTATCTTCCTCAAGGCGAAGGTACTGCTCATCAGCCCCGAGGGGTCCAAGCCGGAACCTGGCACCTCGTTCACGTTGAACTACAACTTTAGACACAAAAAGGTCAAGGTCAACCTCAACATCCAGATCAAGTCGGAACAGAAGGTCGAGTCAGACGATACACACAAGACTATAGAGGAAGACCGTAAACTGCTGCTTCAGGTATGTTCGAGAACTGCCCAACTCGTTGAATCACTGTCTAACATATCCATAGTCCGCTATCGTCCGGATCATGAAATCACGCAAGAAGATGAAGCACGTCCAACTTGTCCAGGAAGTGATTCAACAAGTTAAATCCCGTTTCCCACCTAAGGTACCCGATATCAAGAAGAATATCGAAGCCCTCATGGAGAAGGATTATATAGAGCGCTTGGACGGTGATGAGATCGCTTATATTGCATGATTCCTAGAAATTTTTCTTCTTTGTCCCTTTTCCAATCATTTCTATGTTAGCGCCGGTATTCCTCGCTGGTTTTTCCTCTATTTTCTTTCTTTGTTTAATGGTCTTTATTTTTTTTTTTTTTTCATCACTGCGGCATACGGCTTTCATTCATAGGTCAAGGATAGGACTCTGCTTTCGTAGCACCGATACGACAAATGATAACCCAATATATCAATAAGATTGGATTATTCCATTTTGGCGTTTTTTCCCTGTAATGCTCCTTATGTTCGGCAATTCAAAATTGAATAAATAAAAATATATTTATTGGTAACAAGAATAAATGTTCGTGCTCTAAAATGGTATTAGTATGCATAAGATATCTTGAATCATCATATCCAACCGCTTATGCATTCAGAAGATGCAGGATATATTAGTTGACATTTGAGAAGGAAATCGTATAAAGGAACATCGTATATGCATTTTCGAAAATTAAAAAGAAAATATGACATATATTGAAGAGTAACAAAAGGTAGCAATAATACAAGCTCTGTTCTTTCTCGGGTATCAAAGCTTCGAATCATAAGTGATGATGCTGAATAAATGACATGCAAGAAGTTTGTTTTTGTATGTATTATGCATGGGGAAATATAATTAGGTCGAGTTTATATAATGGATCAAAATGAAGAAAAGGAAAAAATATTCATGCGATCATGTTCCTGTCGTTTGTTGATGGATTATTAACTGTGTAGAGCTTGTTCTGCTGTGCTATGTGCTTCGGTTTGATTCCTGCACTCAGTAGATGCTGGCTCTTCTGCTATGGTATCCTTTTCATCGATGGTGATCTGAGGCTTAACGGAAGGCTTGGGCTGCTCAGCCAGTGCCTCGGTAGTGGTGGTAGTATTCGAGTGGTTTTCGCTGGTGCCACCGCCGACCTGAGCTTCTACCAAGGCCCCCGCATCTTTAGATGGCTGCTCGGCTGGGTGCGACAAGTCATGAACAGGGACCTCGTTTGATAGCTGCGAGCGTGGATTGGCAGTGTCAAATTCGCTACCGTCACCATCATCCTTCCGGTTAGGTGAGCTATACTCGCCGCTATCCCGCCTCAGGAAAATATTGCTCCATCTCTTCCTTCTGCTTCCGCTGCGCGACAAAGTAATGGAGTCTTCGCTGCGGCTTGCCTGCATTGACCGTCTGCCCCTTTCTGGCGGGTCGCTCTGCTCTGCGGTACCCGCCAATGTCGGGGTCGATGGTGAGGTTACTGAAGATGGAGAGGATGGGGTTTTATTTTTGTCCTGCCATTCCTTTCGCTTTTCGCTAGCCCAGGTACTCCATGAGTTCAGATACGCCCCTGCCCTTTGGCCAGCGGCACTCACGGATGCCTGCGCTTGAGCAATGTCCACGGAAGGAGCTTTACGGCCACCGAACCAAGAGGAACCACTAGTTGAATGTACAGATGCTGTATCAGACGGTGAAAATGGAGGGGAAGGGCCCTTGTCAATTGAGGACCTTTGTGACTGAGGAGCTTTCTCTTCATTTCTTTTCCGCTGTGCTTCCCGCATCGTTTCGATATCAGCCCAGAAGTTGTTAAATGCGGCGGTTACTTTCCTTTGGCCAGTACTGATATGCCTATTGAGTGCCTCGCGGCTTTCCCGTACCCGTTCATCCAGATGAAGATCCGCGACTTGTTGCGATAACCGACGCTGAACATCGTCCATGGTGAGGCCTCCGGCACAAGGGTGACGAGGCTCGACGATGGAGTACAACAGTGCATCAGAGGTCAGGCGTTTGAAAAGCGCATAATTAGAAGTGTTTTGCCACTGTGCCAGAAATTCGGCGTTGAATTCCAGCGCAGGGTCGCCTTCTATGTTGAACGCTTCCAATTGCTCCCTGCTCCTCCGGCCTGGGTCACCCGCATTAAAGGAATTCAGCTCCTCATGATATTTCATGCATGAAAGCAATGCGAGCAGGTACTCTTCGAACTGTAACCTGATAAATTCCTCGGAGCCAATATACCCATGGGTCTTGGGTTGTTCCGGATGCGCCTCGTCCCACGTATCGTTGATAATCTGGGTAAGAAGATCGATCCAGCGTCTGTCTGCAACAGATAGTGCCAGTGCATTTCGTAGAGAGGGGGGCGTGATATTGATGGTGTCCTCGTCAAGCTGCAAATCTCATTGCGTAAGTAACCGAGTCGTCCAACTAGATCAAAAGTTCCCTCACGTTGATTAAGATGTCACTATAGCGATCTTTCTGTTGTAAAAGTATCGAATTTGTAGAGCCCACTACATATGACTTCGTGCCGTCATCCGCTAGCAGATCCAGCTGCTGCAGAGGTGTGTAAGGTCCGAACATGCTCCCCTGCAGAAGTTAGAACGTAGCTCGGTCTTTGATCCATGACGCACGAACCTTGCCAAAGATTTGTAGCGGTAATCCCATATACGCCAGCACTTAAGAGTCAGTATGAGATGTAATCGAGGGTAGGTATATTACAATCATACAAGAACTTCTGTCGCTTGTCTTCAATGTGGTAGGCTTCTCAACAGTCTTCGTATAGCTCTCGAATGTTGGGTCTGCACAGTCTTGAAGGTAGTTTATGAGGCCAGGTATCAACGAAACGAGGGAGAATTGTATCATGCATAGACGCTCACATCTTGAGCCAAAGAAAAGCATCTGGGCTCAATCAGTATCTTGTATGATGAGTTAGTAGGGCTACCAACCTTGGGCTGCAGGAGTAAAGCTTTGAACAAGACCAGAGTTTGATACTTAAACTCGTGGATCATTTCCCGCAGAGACAGTCCTGCAGGCTGGTCAGCAACAAAGATCGACCGTGCTAGGTACCTGGACTCACCAAGGTTTTGGTCCTTGGAAGTCTCATCCTTATTCAAATTGATGACTAGGCTCTCTCGAAATTTCTGAAACATATCAGCACTACTGGAGACCAATGAACAATGCCAAGGCACAAAAAGAGGCCATAAAAAGAAAAGAAAAGAAAAGAAAAGAAAAGAAAAGAAAGAAAAGAAAAGAAAGAAAAAGAAAGGCACACCTTCAGAATATCGATATCGGAGAAGTCTCTGTTCTCGTCCACATACACATTAGTTATAGATTCCCCCACACCAGCGTAGCGAATATCTCGTCAGGTTATGGTAGGCTAATAAGCCACCAGCTAGCATATATAGTGGTCCCAACATACCGCTGCGCAAACCAAGCAGATGTTACAATGGACAGTTTTTCTCTCAGCTGCCCCAGGCTCTGAGGGCTATCTGTGACGACAACAACTGCCTTCTGTACTGTGGATCTCGTCACATCAGATGGTCGGTATAGGAGCAAGTTCGAATCGATTTGTCTCGCACAAGATATGCCGAAAAGGGAAGTTGCAGGTTCCGTAGCGGTCTCCTTTCGGCGGAGTGTAAAATAAGAAAACTCCTCGGTCGACCTGGAGGGCCAGAGTTCGCGTCAATAAATGAATGCGTCCTTTAGCAGACGTTGTAACTTGTATGGAGCGTATGAGGGGTAATGATTATCGCCGTACATATGCGCCCCGTCTGATAACGCCATAAATGGCAACAAACTCCAGTCATTCTCCGTCGCGGGATCGGTTCCATCTTCTCCAAAGCACAGTTCGATTTCGGGGCCCCTGCAGAAGACAGAAAATGATATATATTAGCCAGCAGGCCCAGAAAATGTGGCGCAAGGATAATAGATAATCCCGGGCTGTGCTATGCAGCAAGTCCCGAGCACAACTCATACAAGCGCAACCAAAGAGTGGAATGAACATGTTCTAGTACTGCGAATTCTGCGGTCTCTGCCTATCTCGTTCGCGTTCTTGTTCCCGTGTCCATACTGTTGACTTCTTATTCTCATCCAGTTACTCACCTTGCATGATGGAAGTCTATGACCATAACAATAGGCGCCTGGCGACTTGGAACACTAGCCATGGCGTAAAACGGCAGCGGTGCAACATACAAACGACCGAAACAAGGAAAGATTCGAAGCCAATTTCTCTCTGAGAGAAAGGGCTACCCTCCCGGGAAATAGTTCTAGGGAGACACAGGTAGCCTCAAGGCGGATACAATCAAGAATAAATCAAAGGAGAGAACCTCAAGCTGGAGACTGGTGGAAATTGGAACCAGGGGGGCTAATGAATTGATTCATTGGGTCCTGCGGCGGGCGGTGACAAGTCGGCGGTTGATTAAATTTGGCCAACTGGAGTACGGGAGTAGTAGTAACCTATGGACACCTATGGACATCGGAATTCCACCCCCACCCCGTGTTTTTTTTAAGTACGACTAGTCCCCATACTTCAATTTGCGGGAAAGATAATCAAATCATAAGGCTGATATTTGGGATTTCTGCCAGCGGAGCACCACTTAGAACAGCCAGCAACCAAATAATTAGCGCGACGAATGATCAACAAGATTGTTCTAATGGCCCGGTTTTCATTCATGTATTCCTCAAGCACCAACTAGTTCATCATTCATGGTTCACGTGTAACTTATATATAGGGAACAAGAAACCAAAAGAGAAAGGGAAAATCAATGTCACAACTGATTTTCAACTCCCCGATTCTAACAACGTCGTAAGAAAACCACAGGTCCTGAAGGCAAAAGCGCCTCAGAATTTGCAAAACAACCACGTGACAGTGAATGAGAAAGTATCCGTAGATGTAAAGATATCACAGCCTTCATGCCCAGTCTACATACCAAACAAGGAGAACAAAAGGGAAAAGAAGATAACCTCAGAAACACGCTGCACTATTGCCTGCGCCTCGTCCGCGAAATTAGGAACCCGATTATACAAAATTTTGCTGGGCATCTCCAGCTCCCTCAACGGCGACTTGGCTCGCCTCGGTACCCTGATCGATATTATGGAAGTCGAGAATTTCCGAGTACCTAGAGGTCTCCAGATTAGCTTGGCAACCACGTTATTGCGTCAAAGAGGTGCTTACATCATGATCTTCCAGGTGTCTACCGGTAGGTCAGCATCATTGAATGACCAATCGAACTTCTCCTCTGCCACAGGCTCATCGGTGGGGTCGTGGTACGGAGCAAGGTACTCGTGCGCCAGCGCCTCGCCCGCGCGAATTCTCTTCTTCGGGTCAAATACCAGCATCCGCTCGAGAAGGTCGACCGCTGTGCGTTGTTAGCATCTGATGGCGCTTAATCCCCATTTAACGGAATACATACCATCCGGGTCAGCGTTCTTAAATTTGGTGGCGAGGGGTTGACGTTCTCGCTTGGGGAGAGACTTGACGAATCGCAAAGTCTGTGGCCAGTGTTAGCAGTGACCCCACTTGGAACGTAGCACAATCCCATGGTTACTCACATTCTCACTACAGATTGTCTCAATCACATCGTCCGGTGGGGTACCAAGGAGCTCTGTGATAATGGAGAATTGGTTCACATGATCCTTGCCGGGGAACAGAGGCTTTCCTTCCAGCATCTCGGCGAAAATACAAGCGGCACTCCAGATGTCCACCTCCACATCATACTTTTGCCATGTGAGCATAATCTCAGGCGCACGGTAGTATCGCGTCGACACGTAGCCTGTCATCTGGGGGTCTTGAATACGGGCGAGACCAAAATCGCAAATCTTCAGGTCACAGTTCTCGTTGATAAGGATATTACTCGGCTTAAGATCACGATGCACAACACCTGCTGAGTGCACATATTTAAGTCCTCGCTGTAACGCATCAGTATCGAGCCCACATCGTCTGGAGGAGCCAGTCGCAGCCACGCACCAAGATCTGGTATAAGAAATACTGGATAAACTGCTTCTCCAACGGCCTTGATGTGAGAAGTCGGTGGAGGTCGGTACCCAAGAGCTCGGTTACGAAATAGCTGTGGCGATCGGTTAGACAACAGGTGTCCCTCTTAAAGTTGGTAGAGATCGTACATACATGTCTTCGAGGGGAGAAATAAAAATATCACTTAGGCTGATGATCTGGTCACAGTCAGCGTACAGAGCGATGTGGCCGTATTCGGGTGAATTGACCGACATTTTCGTGGCGCAAGTGCTTCAATAGTTTCAGTTCGCGGTATGTTCTCTTGGACAAAACTGGGGTACTGAAAGGTTTCATAATCTTCTTAACGGCGACGGGCTGTCCGGTCAATTGGTCCCTCGCCGAACTAATTTCCCGGGGGAAAGCATGTCAGCGCATGGTCCGTATGAGGGGTTGGCGGTAACGGCGAATCTAAAAGGAGGGGCTGTAGGAACATACCACACGAGGCCGAACGCACCCATTCCCACGGGCTGCAGTTCTGTGTACCTGCGAAACTGTTAAACAGGAACTAATCCCATTGCTTGTATTCAATCATCTCAAGAGACACCCGTACCTGCTTGTGATCTCGAAGGTTGTGCCAAAGATCTGGGCACGCACGAATTCCGCCATTTTGGATTACAGACGGATGTAACTCCAAGATTCGGAGAAAAGCGACAAGAATACTAATCCTCTAGACTTGCTCAGGATATGAGACAAGATAATTAAAAAGATGGAAGGGACAGGGAGAGTGTGTAGAAGAAACGAGAGTGAAGTAAAAAAAAAAAAATGGAGATAGCAAATGAAGTTGGAGTAACAAGGCGAATAATAACACTTTTTTGGTAGTGAAGAAGGAAGCAGAGAAACCGTAGGTGGCGCCCAAGGAGGTATGTGGGGAAAAAAGGAAGTCTCTCTTAGCCCGTTGACTTTTCGAAAGTCCGGTAACAACCAAGCAAGACCGATGACGTTCGCGACAAGAACGTAGGGTATTGCAAAAAAAGAAGGGTCGGAAGTGGGAACGCTGGAGGTTTACAGCAACCACGAAGACTTTGGCCCTCCACGCGGCCTGTCTAGACCATATGCCAACTAACATTGGCCGGAAGATGGTTCCAAATTCAGGGAATATCGCCCATCACGCTTACATAACCGGATGAGGCACGGGCAAGAGGGGCAATAGGACCTAGTATTGGCATTTGTCTCTTCTATTTGGGTCCTCGTGGGGTTCTTTTTCTGTATAGGATTTGGTTTGCTACGGAGTATCGCCTGTCCCATCGGTTTGAAGACATAGATTTTTATATTAATGAGCGACGGTTTTACCACCAATGCCTTTTTCCCTCATCATGTTCACCTCCCAAAGAAGGGCTGCGATGGCACGTGTCCATTATGTTGAGCTCATCCCTCCATGAACGTCGCAATCTGCCCTAGAAGGCAGAAGACAGAAGTCAAAAAGGAATCAGGGGTCTGGATTGGAATTGTTTAAGATCTAAAATTCTGCATCGAACATATTTAGATGTTGATTCGTCAAGCGTTCGGGGGTTCGTCAATTATGTCATAGCGGGTAAAAGAGTACAGCGCCATGAGGCAGAAATTAAGAGAACGAAAAAGAAAAGCAAAAGATAAAACGACCCTTTGTTTTGCAAAGCACCAATTGCAACAGAATATCTAACAGCAACGATCGATTATCATGCAATTTCCCAGAATAAAACTCCCTGTTGCCTATACCGGTGGTGATGTAGGTAGGTACCTAATACGTCAGGCCTCGCTTCCCGCGACGTACAGCAAGCATTTGCTGTCTCGATGTCATCATAGCCTGTGGGGTGCGGATATGCTGCTAACCTTTTCCAACCACTCCCTGCCAGCCGTGTAATTCCACATAAACTGCTTGCTGCCTATCCAAAATAAAATGGAAAAGAAAGAATATGGTTATTAAAAGGGATAACACAAATTTGATTGTCCAGTAACTATATAAAAAACCAATTAAAAAAATATAAAAAAAAGAGGATTTTCCCCATAGGACAACTGGAGTAGATCGCGATCCGGTCAAATTTGTCATAGTATCGTTCAACTTAATCGCAGTTATATATATATTTCCTTAGAAGTATCATCCGACCCCTTCCAAGTTTACTAGATCTGTTCCCAGCATATTGGATTATCCTAGAATCACCGTCGGGGATTTATTGAGGCTCACCTTCTCCAATCATTAAAGACCCAAGCTCCGATAGGACTAGTATTTACTATGTTGGGTGGTGAAATAAAAGCAGCAGATGGGGATACATTTATCCACACATTGAGTAAGCAATAGATCTCGGACTTGTCAAGATCAGAATAGAGGATGTCGAGTAAGTCTAGTCCCGTTTTCGCTGTCGTTCCTCCCTAGCTTTGAAGTAACGGCTAAGATTTTGAAGACGCCCCTTTTCTCGTCGATGCTCGACATGTGTGAGCTCATAAGCACTATTTGTATCTACATGTATATGCAAGGTGTCGCTAGGAAGACAATATAAGTTAACGCTACTGTGGGCAAAGAACATTGCATAGCACAAGGTTATCCGTATCCAAAAGGAAATCTATTCCAAATCCCTCTTTGTCCCGAAAAGGCGCCATCCCTTCGTGTTACTCCTAATCGTCATGTTTGTGGCTTGGTAGACTGAACGCGCTCCATAGTCCGACCTTGTGTGCTCTGTCTTTTTGGTAGGACAACCTACTGTAACTTGGGTGTTTAGAGGAATAATTTCACGAACCCCGAATAAATTTTGTACGGTACCTGTACTTCTGCCGTCAGGGCTACAGGTCAATTCTCCAATCAGCAAATAGTGGGACATAGCCCCAGCCTTAACATTCCCCTAGAGGAAGTGTGCCCTGCGCCTTCCGTGGCTATGTATGTATGGAGAGATGGTCCGTTCACTGGGTGGAGCGGATACTTAAAAGCACAGGAGTGCAGCATGCCATTGTGTTATTTTGGATTTGAGTCGAAGTAGACACTAGTGGAAAGATATTATGTTGAAAAATATTATGTATTTTTCTCTTCTTTGGCCTGCAAATTAGCCAGGGGCGAGAAAGGGAGCGGACAGGCCGGAGGACAAGAAGTGAGAATTATGGATGGTGGCGTCCGCCAATCCCTGGGCAGAAAAATACCTGCCTGACTTCCCCGTCAATGGAGGCAGTACGCCGCTCAAATCATATGTTACTAAGAAATTACCATAGAACAAAGTAAAATAAAACAAGAAAAAAAGGTTATGTCAGTTGCTTATCACAATCCAACAGGGGGTAAACTATGTAGGCAAGCATGTACATCAGTATACACGGTATGTCTGTGCATTCTTATAGTACATATATCCTGACATGAATTACCAAGAGAATGGTACCTAGTCCTAGAGATCATATTGAGGTGGGACACAAGGGACGACGCTTGATATATATGTATGTGTCGCAAGATGAGATCGAAACACAATAATGTCTACCCACGGACCCTTATAATACCGTGAACTAAGAGGTTCCTACGAACGAGTAACACCCTGAGAATGGGCCATCATTACCTAAGCTCCAAGCTCAATCAATGAAAATGGAGGTATCTTAGCGTCGAATACCGGGCTCCTTTCCCCCCCCCATACCTAATTACCGTCACAACCCTTCATCTTAGTCTATTCATCCCATGCCATCCCACCGCCTCAAATCTTTGTCGGTAAGCTTCGCCGGTCCACGTTTTACCACTTATCCACTTATTCCCGTGGATAGGTACGATCTAATACTCTGTAAGGTAAAGTCGGTAATACTGGGACTCCTCTCTTTTCTGCCATCCCCACTCCCCATCTGTCTATTATGACGATTAGGGAACATCCGCCCATTGAGAATTACCATTTGTCTCAACCGTCCAATAATGATCCCAAGCAACTGTTCATCGTCATAAGAACAGCAGCAGTATCTCACTCCTACGATCCTTCCTTTTTCCCTCCCCTTCCTTCTACCCTCTTTTCATGACTGATTGACAATCTCCTATACGTTCGCTTCTTTAGTATTTCCTCGTTTTTCTTACCCCGGTTCCCTTTATTCTATTTTTTCTTGCCTCCCTAGCCGACGGGGAGGGTGACTACTTTAGTATTGCTTACATTATCTCACTCGAGATCCGTCCACTTTTCCCACATCATCCCCCGATCGACCTTTGCTACCCTTTTTTAGCGTCGGCTCGTCAGTCTCACACGTCTTCTTGCTCCGCAGTTAATCCAGTCGCCCCTCATCCCAACTCAACGTATTAACCCAGAGATATTGAGTACGATAAAGGCGCTTGGACTTCTGCTTCCTTTCCACCGGTGCCCTCCAACGCCCTAGTTTCACCTCCTGCGTCACGAGCATCTGATCTCCGCCCCCGGGATCTCGCAGTCGCTCAGGCCTTCATCCGAGACCAGCTGTACCGCTGCTACTGTGCGCCGTCTTCGATTCCTAGTCAAGCCTCCTATCGTCGATCGCGAATATTATTATCATTTCCTTTCTCGTCTATTTCAAATCATTGATTGATCATTAGCCACTCCATTGCCTCGGTATTCCTTCCAAGCTACAGGGAGCCGATTGGTGACGACTAACCCGAAGGTGTCGGGGCCGTGTTAGGTTGATGCCGTTCACTTCCGCAGACAGCTCATGGTTTAGTCGTTCGCTGTCTAGAATATAATTCGACATGGGTTCGTGTGTAAGCTCAGAGCCGGCTGAAAACAATGAGCCAAAGAAGAGGAGCCAGGCGATCGATCGCAGGCTGGAGGAGGATTCTAGGCGATTACGGAGAGAGTGCAAGATTTTACTGCTTGGTACGTTCGGGGAATTCTTTTTTTAGCATGGCGTTTTTTCGTGTCTGACTGCATTGGTTTTCCTGTATCAGGGTCCGGAGAAAGTGGGAAATCGACGATTGTCAAACAAATGAAGATCATCCATCAGAACGGCTACACAGTGGAGGAGCTAGCCTTGTATCGCCTAACGGTCTGCAAGAACCTCCTAGACTGCGCCAAGTCCCTTGTAGGAGCTTATCACCAGTTCTCCCTCGAGCCCTCGAGCCAAAAAGTCCGTGACTACGTACAATACATTTCAGACTACAATATCGACCCCGACCCGCACACAACGTTGGATGCGAAGGTAGGGGAGGCGATAACGTATATCTGGAATGACCCGTGCACATCCACAGTATTGGAACATCAGAACGAGTTCTACTTGATGGATTCTGCTCCATAGTAAGCTCCATTGCTTCCTAGGTTGTACGGAAAGAAGATGCACTGACAGCATCCTGCTAGTTTTTTTGAGGAAGCAAAGCGAATCGCATCTCCAGATTTCATACCCAACGTAAATGATGTGCTTCGCGCCCGAACGAAGACTACCGGTATCTATGAAACTAGGTTTACGATGGGCCAGCTGAGCATACAGTATGTGAACTCACATAGTCTATTTTGGGGACGTCGCTTACACGTTGTGCAGCATGTTTGATGTGGGTGGCCAGCGTAGTGAGCGCAAGAAGTGGATCCATTGTTTCGAGAATGTCACCTCCATTATATTCTGTGTGGCATTGAGCGAGTACGATCAAGTGCTTCTGGAAGAGAGTAATCAGGTAAGCGTTGTCGGATATCAATGGTCATCCTTGCTACTAACCTTACTGCAAAGAATCGAATGATGGAGAGTCTGGTACTGTTCGATTCCGTAGTCAATTCGCGATGGTTCATGCGAACGAGTATAATCTTGTTCCTGAATAAGGTCGATCTGTTCCGCCAAAAGCTCCCTCGGTCCCCCTTAAGCAATTACTTTCCTGATTACTCTGGCGGCAATGACGTGAATCGCGCCGCCAAATACCTGCTATGGAGGTTCAACCAAGTTAATCGAGCACATCTGAACCTCTATCCCCAGTAAGCATCCCGCAAACTTCGATGAAGATGCCCTGTACTGTGACATGCAACTAACTTCACTTTTCATTCCAGTTTGACACAAGCCACCGATACAACCAACATCCGCTTAGTATTCGCTGCGGTAAAGGAGACAATTCTACAAAATGCCTTGAAGGATTCAGGTATCTTGTAGATTTGAATGTTCTGCGCGCAGACATCTCGAGTCGGACAGATCGCGATCTCTGGGCCTGTTGAGTCTTCGGGCGACCGAGCTACGTTTATTTCCGACAGCCATGACGCTCCTTCTATCCTATTTTTCCTTTTTATTCACCCCCGATACTCCCTCGTGCTTTGTGGATAGGCATCGGCGTTAACGGTGCTAGTCTTCGTTTCAGTTTAATATGCTAGGCGCTTGGTTGGATCATAGTCATTGGGACTTTGCGGCATGGAGTCATTTCTGTCTTGGTTCTCAATTTTTTATCCATCTATTTATTTTTCTTTTTCTTTTTTTCTTATTCCCGAGGGGTGTGCTTGTTTATTTTATTTTATTTTTTTTTTTCGAAGGGGTTTTTTATCTGCATCATTTAAGTATCGGTTGGCTTGGCTTGGCCCTTTTCATTGGCCTGGATTTCTATGTGCATCTTGTTTCAAAGTGAAAAGTTGTTGGTCTCAGCACTACTTGCATATAATTTGTGCCAAGGTTCTTGATATCCTCTCTCATCTTGAGATTTTCCTTTCTTATTTTGTCTCTTCTGTTTCCCCCTTTCCCCTTTTGATCCACCTCAGCTTATGCATCTAATAGCGGTCCCTTGACTCCCGGGGTGGCTGGCTTGCAATCTTTTCAACTTATACCATTCAGTTTCCAGCGCTATAATATGTTTTAGTACTTGGTTCTTTCACTTTGCCGCATCTCTTTTGTTGAGTAAGTTTTGGTGTGTTCCCAGACGTTTGCCTCTACGAAAGATCATATGGGCCGATGACTATACAGCATTGCGAATAATCTCAAGAAGAGCTAGGATGGATCTGGACCGCGGGTATGTGCGGAACATCCGACCCATGGTTTTTCTTTCGCCCTTATTGGGCCGACTATGGTAGATTGCCCAGACACGATAGAATCACCGGCATCAAACGCCAGAGGATTGGGTGGGATTGTGTGAATAGTATCATGTTAAGTTTATATAATCACAACCGTTTCTTATGGGGTTAGTCTCTAATAACAATAGATAACTAGTTTAGAAGTCCGGCCGATTATTAGGTAAATAAATCAGGGTGGGTCAGCGAGAGGTTGTAGGTAGGGGTCTGGACCTTGGTTCTGTGGGGAGTAGAGTAGTAGGGTAATGGCAGTGCACAGTGCACATACATGCAGGAGGTCTGATGAGTACCGCACGGACTGTGATGATAGGAGCTGTGAAGCTACTACCTTCGGTGGTTGGTTGATTAATAGGCATAATTAGGGTTGCTTTCCCTCCCCCGCAGGGTCAATCAGATGGTGTTTGCGTCATTACTTTTCCGAACGTCCATCAATTTAAAAAATCACTTCTACCTGACGGAAATATCAAGTGTTCCACCACGAAAAGTATACCTTAGCCATCAACACACTTCTGTCCTAGATATAGTAGTATTTATGGTATATCTGTATCTATTTTCGACACGGTGACACGACAGAAAATTGAAGGGCCATTCCGGATAATCCGTGGACCTCAATGGCACGATTAAACAGACTGGTCTAGACAACCCTCCCAATGGGTGGCGTAGGTTACCATCTGGAAGGGATTGAAACCGGTTCCTAGCTTTCAACAACAACAACCAACAACAACAACAACAACAACCGGGATCCAATGCGATAATCATTCCCAATCTCCGCTACGATCGTCCATTGAGAAGTTTCAACTGATTGATGGTGCCCATTTCGAGGTCTCGTCACGGGGTGTGCTTGCAGTTCGAGAACGAACTGAAGCTCTGACCTCTTCCTTCCCCTCTTCCCTTGTCTCATTGTCTGCTGCCACCTTCCCCTCCATCCATCATTTCTCCTCTTCTTAAGTTGCCTGGCTAGCTTTTCCTTCCCCCTCCTTTAACTTCCCTCAATTGGCATCTCTCAAATTACCCGTTCCTCATTCAGCCTGACCCTGCCATACCTTCCAAGCCCCACGTCGTCCCTGTATCACCTTGGTAACTGGGCAACCATGTCTGAAGCACGCCGGGAGAGGAAACCATCTGTCGGTGCTCCTGTGTCAGAGCTTCAGGGTCCTATTGGCCCTGGCTTTAGCCGTCCAAAGCACAAACGGACTTATACTGGCTTAGCGCCAGCAGAAATCAAGAGTGTTGAGGCCAGCATCCCTGAGCCTCTGAGAGAAGCGTAAGTGGCATGTGTACCATGGTTGACTGGTCTTGACTGATTAGACTTCGTCTTTAGCTGGAGAAAGCATGTAAGGCGGACATACTGACTGTCATCCGAGGTTGTGGTCCTCTTCCGTACTAAATCATGTTGGCTGCAGTCTGTCAGTGGCTTTACGAACAAAGATGAGTTTGAAGTATGTGACGGCCTGCTAAGGTACATGAAACCATTTCTAACAGCGATATAGCAAGAGCTGGTCCGTCACGTCGAGACTACCTTGGCTCGTTCGCTCTACAACTGTGATGAGCTGTATGTTCATGTAGCTCCATGCATTCTTTCAGACCCCCAAATAACAACAACAACAGCGCTGCGTACTCGGGAACTGCACTTGCGTTCCGTGACCGCCTGATCATCGATTGGAATAAGACCCAGCAGCGGCAAAGTTCTGCAGACCAGAAGAGGGTGTACTGTAAGTGTGCCATGAAATGCTTCTAGGTCTGCTATATCCACGGATGCACAGCTAATCTGCTGCTAGATCTCTCTCTTGAGTTTCTTATGGGCCGAGCGTTGGACAATGCTATGCTCAATGTCGGCATGAAGGACGCGGCTAGGGGTATGCGATGACCTGAATACGCAAGCTCGAGATAAGAGACAAATGCTAACTGCATAGTGAAGATGGCTTGAAGAATCTCGGCTTTCGGATCGAGGATGTCATTGACCAAGAACATGATGCCGCCCTCGGAAACGGAGGCTTAGGGCGTCTAGCAGCGTGCCTGCTTGATAGCCTGGCAACACTGAACTACCCGGCCTGGGGATATGGGCTCCGTTACAGATACGGGATCTTCAAACAAGAGATCGTGGATGGATACCAAGTGGAAGTTCCTGATTATTGGCTCGACTTCAATCCCTGGGAATTTCCCCGACATGAGATTGCCGTCGATATTCAGTTTTATGGCTGGGTGAGAAAATATCAAGATGACAACGGTAAGACTGTTCATTCATGGCAAGACGGCGAAGCTGTCCAGGCAGTAGCGTACGATGTACCTATTCCTGGCTATGGAACTTCTACTACGAATAATCTTCGATTATGGTCAAGCAAAGCGAGTAGTGGGGAATTTGATTTCCAGAAGTTCAATGCTGGAGATTACGAGAATGCCGTGGCGGAACAGCAGCGCGCAGAAACGATCTCTGCGGTGCTCTATCCAAATGATAACCTTGAAAGGGGCAAAGAGCTCAGACTGAAGCAGCAGTACTTCTGGTGTGCTGCATCGTTGCATGACATTATTCGAAGATTCAAGAAGACGAAGCGAGCTTGGAGAGAATTCCCGGATCAGATAGCAATCCAACTCAATGATACACACCCGACACTGGCTATTGTCGAGCTGCAACGCATCCTGGTTGATCTAGAAGGCCTCACGTGGGATGAGGCCTGGAAAATAGTGACCAATACTTTCGGATATACTAACCATACAGTCCTGCCAGAAGCGCTGGAGAAATGGTCTGTCCCTCTGGTGCAAAAGCTACTCCCACGGCACATGCAGATTATCTTTGATATCAACTTGTTCTTCCTACAGACGGTAGAGAAGAAATTCCCCAATGACAGGGACCTACTGTCGCGGGTGTCAATCATTGAAGAATCACATCCGAAGATGGTCCGGATGGCTCATATTGCAATTGTCGGATCCCACAAAGTTAATGGTGTCGCCGAACTCCACTCCGACTTGTTACAGACAACGCTCTTCAAAGACTTTGTCCAGGTTTATGGACCTGATAAGTTCACCAACGTCACGAACGGGATCACTCCGCGCCGCTGGTTGCACCAGGCCAACCCGCGGTTGTCGGACCTGATCGCCACTAAGCTTGGCGGATACCATTTCCTGACAGACTTAGCGCTTTTAGATAGGCTCGAAGCTTTTGTCGATGACAAAAACTTTCGAAAGGAGTGGGCGGAAATCAAAACCGCGAACAAAATCCGTCTTGCTAAGCATATCAAAGACGCTACCGGCTATAGTGTCAATCCCACCGCTTTGTTTGACATCCAGGTAAAGCGTATCCATGAGTATAAGCGTCAGCAACTCAATATCTTCGGGGTGATTCATCGCTATCTGACTATCAAGTCCATGTCTCCGGAAGAAAGGAAGAAAGTCTTGCCACGAGTATCCATTATTGGTGGCAAGGCAGCCCCGGGGTATTGGATGGCTAAAACTGTCATCCATCTTGTCAACAATGTCGCATCAGTCGTAAACACTGACCCGGAAATCGGTGATCTTTTGAAGGTAATATTTATTCAGGACTACAATGTCAGCAAGGCAGAGATAATTTGTCCCGCCTCGGATATCAGCGAGCATATCTCAACCGCTGGTACTGAAGGTAGTGGTACCAGTAACATGAAGTTTGTACTCAATGGTGGCCTTATCATTGGAACGTGTGATGGAGCCAACGTATGTTTGACCCCTGCGTCCATCTGTATACAACTGACCCTTGTGATTGACTTGTCGTAACTCTTGTCTAGATCGAAATCACTCGCGAGATCGGCGAACAAAACATTTTCCTTTTTGGAAATCTAGCTGAAGATGTCGAGGAACTACGTCACCGCCACTACTATGGTGACTTTCAACTCGACCCTCAGCTTGCCAAGGTGTTCGACGCCATCCGAAGTGGCACGTTCGGAAATGCCGACGACTTCTCTGCGCTCATTGCATCCATTGCAGAGCACGGTGACTACTATCTTGTATCCGACGATTTCAACTCGTATGTAAAAACTCAGGAAATGGTCGATGAGGCATTTCGGAACCAAGACGAGTGGATAGCCAAGTCCATTACCAGTGTTGCACGCATGGGCTTTTTCTCCACGGACCGTGTCATCAACGAATATGCGGATGGAATCTGGAATATAGAGCCTCTCGCTGTGAAAGAATGATCGAGTGCGTACAATACATCCAGATATAACTGCAGTTTTCCCCCTTTGTTTTCCTGCATTCTTCCAGTATGTTTCGGTTTTGAGGTTCATGTTTCTAATGCACCTAAACCCCTGTCTGTGACTTGCATCAGTTCTAATCATAATTATTGAACAATGATTAGTGTTCAAGATGAGAATGACGACAACACAGTTTCTGCATACAAATTGCTACTATTATTTGACTGTTAGCTCCATAGTTGCCTTAACACAGTATGATTTCTATTTGATTCTTTCTCTCTTTATCACTAAGGCTTTCTTCCTCACCGGCACCTATCATTACTCCCTACGAGCAACACGCAAGTAGTGTAGAGACAACGAGGAAAGAAAGGCCCATCATGATGATGATCTTACTACAACAGTCGGATGACTGCGCCTATAGCTCTCTTCTAACCTCTTATTCTCATTTGGTCCACTAGGTAGTGGACGAACTAGCGCGAACTGCAAGTATCTATGAAACAAATCACAACATAGCCAACGAAGGCAATTGTCACTAAACGTACATCTGTACGTTCGCTAAAATGCTCAACATAGAAAAAGTGTGCTTCATATATCATGTCTCAGGGGTAAAGGGGAAGAATGGGGAAGGGGGAGGGTATAGACTGCGTGATTCGAAAAGATCCCAGAACAAGATGGAACAGTATATGAATGAGATGGAAAGTTTGCTTAGGAAGCATTTAGTTCAGCAATGCGCCTTTGAAGTTCTGGAACGGCCCGGAGGTGAAGATCGAGCTCTTCTTTCTCACTATAAATACAGTGTTAGTCTCGGTGTTGTACAGTTATTGTGAGAATGGGGGTAGTCAAGGATAGGCGCAGCTTACTCTTCTAGTTTCAGTCTCCGTTCCCAGTCTAGACCTGTGAAAATGTAGCCTCCCTGGCCGTCGAACTGCAGAATCTTCTTGTGATATTTCCAGAGGCTGCGACGGTGGGATACGGTCATCAGGGTTGTGCCTAATCTCTTGGCAGTCTCGTACATGACCCTTTCAATCTCCATAGTGACCGATGAAGTACATTCATCGAGAATGGCAAACTTGGGTCGATGGTAGAAGAGTCTTGCCATGGCAATGCGCTGTTGTAGTCCACCTGAGAGTACATCACGCCATTCCTCCTCTGCGTCCCAGCCGTCAGGGCGGTCAACAACTGATGCGATCTCAACAATGGAGAGTATATCATAAAGATCGTCGTCAGTAACGCCCTTAGCACGCATTTCGCGAAGTCCATCTGGGTAGATGACCTGCTGGCGAAGGGTTCCGCGGGACAAGTATGGTCGTTGCGGAATATAAAAGATCTCATCAAATCGAGGTTTCTTTACCTTGCCTCCGTAGACAGGCCACAGGCCGCCCAGGATCCGAAACAAAGATGACTTGCCACATCCATTTGGACCAACAATTAGAAGATGATCACCGGGGTGCACAGTAAATGACAGCTTCCGCACCAGAACATCCCCGTTAGGCGAGACGATCGGGACATCGGTGAATTCGATCGAGTCGCTCTCCTCTACCTCTCCCCGACCGGACAAAACAGCTGCATTCTCCTCGGTCGATGCAGAAGACACCAGCTTCTTCTCAAAGCGTCCAGCTAATAGGTCGTCCATGACCTCCAGCAATGACGCGACACGGGCTGTGTAGCCGGCTAGTTCAGATATCTCTTTGTATGAGAACATCAAGCGGCCAAAGGCATCAGAAGAGGAAAGCAACATCCTCCTATTCGTAACAAAACCTAGTTAAATTGGTGTTAGCTCAGTCTCGCATACCAGCCTTAGTCCCTACTTACTCTCCGTACGGTCTCCCATGGTCTGAGTGATTTGACCTGGAATTCTGAAGAAAACTGGAATGCTGCATAGGATCAATCCCAAGGCTCCCCAGAAATACTTGATGACAAAGTCCTCCATGAAGCCGTGGTATAACCGTCTCCGTAAAATGCGATTCACGTGCTTAATTAGCGTGAAATATCCTTTGTCTAGAGTATCCTTCTCCGCCTCGTGGCCGTGATATAGGGCAATCTCTTCACTATAGTCGATCAACCTCGAGTGGAGGAACCGGAATTCTCCTTCCAAGCGGGCTTCGTCAGCAACGTATTTTCCAAATGGTGGCGTTAGCGCACGCATGACGTTAGCTGACAACTGAACCAGTAGGCTCATAATAAAGAGGCCTTCCCCGCCCACACTCTTTGAGAGGGAATAATTATAGATTGCCATGTCCAGAACTGGCTTGGCTAGGTTGGAATACAGCTCTGCCAAGCTGTCAGAAAATCGAGACACGTCTACCGTGATGAGTTGATCGGGATTTTTGACTCGGTCATCCAGCGCAGAGATCGCGTAGAATGTCATGTTGCTCAAGTACTTGTCATGAATGTAATCTGTCAAGCGCTTCCTGTAACTGAGGGCAAGTTTACATTGGTGATAAGAAAGCTAGAAGGGTTCAATGACGTTAGTTGGTGTAGTTCACTTGCGTGAGAGTGGACCAGAACCGGCGCACGACATACCATGGAATTCGTGAAAGTTGCTGGTACGGCAACAATCATCCACCACACAAGGCCCAGTAGGAAGTCCTTCCCCTTCCCTCTCACCAGGTTACTCACCAGTCTCCCGTCTAGTTCAGCGACGTATAGACTGAGTAACGTTCGAAGCACCAGGAAGACACTGTGGCCGGCCAGTAACCGTAGCTCTTTACTCCGCCAGCTGGGAACCACTATTTTCAGCAACCGAAATAGATTTCGAAAGAATTCGCGGTTGACCCCAACTTTCTTCCGCGGCCGGTCGCCGCCATCCCCGATACTGCTGGTGCCCGGACGCCGCCGCAACTCCACTTGTTGCTGGGAAGCTGCTTTCTGTTCGGAGATGGCATTATGAATGCGCTTCGCTAAAGCTGCGAAGAGGGCTAGATAGACTGTGCGAGAAATCCCAGTGCGGTGGCGCAGGTACAAAGTAGTTAGGCTTGAGAGGATCTGCCGAAGCGATCGTTCGGGAGGAAGTAGTTTCGATTGAGCGGCCATCGCGACGGAAAGAAGCCGCCGCGCGCAAGATGGGCAGAATTTATTTCAGCCAGAGTCAACTTGGGATAACATGGCCATAAAGTGGATAACTTAGTTGAGGAAGGGGGGTATAGTGTCACCCTGTTTCGGGGGAGGTTGGAGAAGAAGGCGGAGAGAGAGAGAGAGAGAGAGAGATAGAAAGAAAGAGGGATGATTGTTTGTCGCAGTAGAAGCTGGGGGAATGACATGTGAACGGATCATCCCCCGATTTTCTGGGGAAGCCGAGGAATCTTTGTTCCGTACGGTACGGTATTTAATAAATGTATGCACATATGGAGTACTACATATTGTACCATACATACATCGGATGTCAACTCTGGTAAAGATGGTAATTCTTGATTCCAAACTCCAGTTTAATATAATGTGACCTATGATATAGTAGGTAGGATAAGGAAAAAGGCATATATATATATGATACGAGCGGGATTCGAACCACGCGTCTTGTGACACGCAGAGACACTACATAGTTCTCGGACCAGCAGTAGCCTGAACCTGGTGTGTTTGGTTGGTATGTTCTCTCAACTTTATTTTGTAGAGTCTTGGTTTCTCTCTTAGTACCAGCACCTCCGTTGCTATATTATCAACTACAATGTCAATGGCTTTTGGTCTACCATACACCTGTACTCTCGTGATGATCTGGGTAGGCGTCTTATATATATATCTACACCAAGCTATGCTAATTATCCGTCGGAATTAGTCCAGCCCCAAGCCGCTCGAAGCTGTATCTGTGCCTTGGTAGTTGATAATGCATGGGTCTCTTCGGTTATGGTTAAGATGCCGAGTAGTGCTTCTTGCTCCAAACGATCCGTTACTCGATCTCCACCTGTTCAACTAATATTAGGTTGGAACTATGCATACAGTTCTCCCATCAAATAGGTGGCTTACACATCGAAACTCCCATGCATGCTGTAATAAGGGCAGGAGCTGTCTTGTTTGACCGAGCAATGCCACATAGTATAAACATGCTTTCTTTGATTTCAGCCTGAGAGTGTGAGTGAACACGGCAAATTCTTCTAGAATTGAACACATTCCATACCTCTCTTCGACCGACTGCTGCTCGCCTACCAGGTCCTAGACGGGGGACTCTGGGATCGAATGCAGTAAGTAGAATCCTCGCAAGGTGCCAGTGTTGAATGGCAGTTACTATGAGTGTAAGGTGTGTGAGCCCCTGACCGTTCACAAGCACAAAGGCCTTTGATTTATACCGATGCAATCATCCAAGAACCATAGCTCTGGAAACACTTCGCCCTTCGACCTATCCGGCGGTCGAAAATAAATCGGGTTGAATGTCGGTGGTGCCATTCGGTTCCACCCTTGAATATAATCCCAGAGCTGTTCATATTCTTTTATTGTATGGCTCCTCTCATCGTAACAATACATCAGCGTGTGGGCACAGTGCAAAATGACTCGATTGGCCCACGTAGGGTCATCTGCTTGGTCGAGTAACCTATAAGTCGAGTGATCACAGCAACTGAGGTCAAATTGGAAGATACGCTGTTTGATGAACGAAGTGTGAAATTCCTGGCGTATGCCTACCCAGAATGCAGCCAGTCGGAGGCCACCGTTTCTCACTGCGGCTGCGCCCTGGGCGTCCAGGAATACTTGCACTCCTCGCAAGTAAGTTTCATCGTCAACTCCTACAAGGGGCGCTGAAGCCACCAAGTCAGCCGCCACTGCCATCACAAAGCGTGTCAACAGGAATGGAACATACAATCTACCTCTTCATAGAAGCGCAGAATTACCGCCGCCGCCAGCAGATTCTCATCTGCCACTTCGGCAGGATTCCCAGACAAACTCATGAGATGTGATATACACAGGCTTTGGTATTCTAGCGCAGCATCATCCCCAAGAAAAGGTAACTTCTTCCCCAAGCACAATACCTCACTGGTCCGTGTATGCTGACTTCGGCTGAGGTGTCTTGCGGAAGCGGAAAAGATCGCATATAGGAGCGCAGGACAATTTGCTGCCCGTTGAGGAACTACCTTGGCAAATTGCTTGGAGGGATCACATGTATCAAACTAGGAGAGGCCATCAGTTTCATTTTAGGGAATGGTTACTAGTTCCTCAGATCTGTAAGCGCCCACCCATTGTGCAAGTTCGTCTACGAAATAGCGCATCAAACATGCTTCCTGAACGTCTTTCTGTGACCATAGGGACTGAGGCAAATCCTGTCCCCGAACTGTCACCACACTCTCTTGTGTAGGTCTTGGCTTTGGTAAGCGTTGTTGGGCCATCAGCGTTGATTTGAGATGACTTCATTTCCTCAGCAAGAGCAGTCAAATTGACAATCTAATTTGTTGATTGCGCCTACGACCCCGCATTTTCTGACGGGCGCCGGTCTTAGCGTGCCAAGGACCTCTGGCTGAACTATCTTTCAGTTGATTGCTGTCGGAAAGATGCACCGATAACCTGAGCTTGTATGTGAACTTCAACCCTCTGATGGTGGGAATTACAGATGGTTGATTGTAGAACATTCGGAATCGTCTTCCGAATGTCGGGATGAGCCTACGACTTGCTATGGCTATACATAAGGCTCATTGACTCGGGCCCACGACATCTGTCATTTCATCTCGCACAATAGTATGTTTGCATTGAGACACTTGTGAGCCTTTTGCTCTTCGGCATTTTCCTATCGTGATGCGGCCCCTTACCCTAACTCGTGCCGTTGGCCTCAACCGCCTCAAAAGGCACTTCGTCAGTTCAACTGCGCGCAGACACATGACTATCTTACACCCCCCGAAATTTGAGAATGAAAAACTGGTGGGCTAAAAGCAGATAGCCTCATGGACGTCCTCTACTGACTATTCCCTCAGCTCAGCTATGCCAAAGAATCCCCTGAGAGAGTTGAGTTGTCCGAGACAATCCAGAAGATGAAGGCTGAATTCCCTGCTACAATCCCAATCAAAATAAATGGATTAGAAGTATGTAACCAACCAAGAATGGCCGTTCCTATAGACTTATCTGTGTATGTGTATAGGTTGAAACGAAGCAATCCCGCTCCCAAGTAAACCCTTCTCGGCATAAAGATATTGTGGCCAACTATGCACTGGCTACACCCGATCAAGTAAATGCTGCTGTCGATGCGGCTCTCAAGGCCAAACCTGCTTGGGAGGCCACTCCATTTGAAGACCGCGCAGCTGTTTTTCTGCGTGCCTGCGAGCTCATTACCGGCAAGTATCGCTCTGAGATGGTTGCTGCGACGATGCTTGGTCAAGGCAAAAATATATGGCAAGCAGAGATTGATGCCCCAGCGGAAACCGTTGACTTCTTCCGCTACTACATTCAAGAGGCATGGGCTCTTTACTCTCAGCAACCTAAAGTTCATCCTGATGGAAACTGGAATAAACTTGAATACCGTCCACTTGAAGGATTTACCTATGCGATTGCCCCTTTCAATTTCACAGCACTTGGAGCTACACTTGTTGGCCCGGCCGCGTTGCTTGGAAACGTGGTCATCTGGAAGCCGTCAGATTCAGCCCTTCACGCTAGCTGGCTTCTCCACAAGATTCTGCTAGAAGCTGGCCTCCCTAAGGATGTTATTCAATTCCTACCTGGTGATGCCGAGGAAGTAACCAACACCATCCTTAAAAGACCCGAATTCAGTGCTCTGACCTTTATTGGATCTACCTCGACTTTCAAGGGGATCCAAAAGAAGATTGGAGATGGGATTGGACAAGGCATCTATAACTCCTACCCTCGTGTTGTGGGTGAGACCGGTGGGAAAAACTGGGGAGTGGTCCATCCATCTGCGGACGTGAGAAGTGCTGCTTTGAACACTATTCGCGCTGCCTTCGAGTACCAAGGCCAAAAGTGCTCTGCCAACTCCCGTGTCTATGTTGCCGAGTCAGTTTGGCCTGAATTCCAACGACACCTAAAAGAGGAAACGGAGGCGTTGAAGGTTGGAGACGTCGAAGATTATGGCAACTTTGTCAACCCTGTTATCCACGAGCGCTCGTTCGACAAATTGAATAAATTCATCGAGGAGGCGAAGACCGATTCGGAGCTTGAACTTATTACTGGCGGTAAGACCTCCAAGGTAAAAGGGTACTATGTGCACCCCACCGTCTATAAAACCTCCAATCCACGTCACGATATCATGAATCGGGAGCTGTTTGGGCCGATTCTGGGCGTCTATGTTTACCCCGATGCTGAGTGGGAGGAAACTCTGAAGTTGGTTGATACAACCTCTAGATATGGCCTTACTGGAAGCATTTATGCGAAGGATCCATACGCCAGCCGCCAGGCCCAGGCTGCCCTGAAGCATGCTGCTGGTATGCTCTACCTGAATACTAAATGCACCGGCTCTACGGTTGCTCAGCAGCCATTTGGTGGTAGCCGAGATTCTGGTACCAATGATAAAACAGGCACTATGGCTCATTTGCAAAGATTCGTTAGCACTCGGACGATCAAGGAGGAATTTATCCCCTTAGAGAAGGTTGGGTATCCTTCCAACGAGGTCTAGATGTCAGCGCTTGGTCAAGGAAATTAAGAGATTGAAATGCAATCAGTAGTACAGGAAGGGAACGCGCAAGGCCAAACACTAGCAAGTATACGTAAAGTCTTCCTGACTTTCTTCATGTCAGCAATAACATCGTTGAAAATCAAATGTAATAGCAAAATGATCAGTTCAAAATAAATCCAGATTTGTATTGAAAGATTCAATTATAGCGATAAAATCCTCTATTCAATACTGGGCTAGTTGTATTACGCATTACATCAGTCTAGTAGATTGACACAGGAATTCCTTCGGGCCTCTATTGATGCGTTGGCCCACGCTCTCGGGGCAGTGTTCCGACTGGACTTGGACGCTATAGTATATGTAAGAGCATGCCCAAAAGCAAATGGACACCGGTAGTTACCCCTCTCAGATCCAATTTGAACTAAATTTTACTTTGTCCATCGAGTCTTCCTTTCGTCTGATCCCACTATGCTCCCCCAGTCTACGTTTTTGATGCGCCTCCAAGTTGCATCTGTCAAAAGAAAGTCACTGCTGGCATACCCGAACTATAAAAGCTATCACTATGAGCCGGTCTCTAAGCCAGAAATCAAGCCATATCAGGCAGTTCCACCAATGGCAAGGTTACCGACCCCAGTCTTGCTGCGGTCTTTAGTCATGACTTCTCTGATGTCCTCTAAAATCCTTATGCGACCAGCGCTTACCATACTGAGCGTTATTGCTACTTCAAGATTGCCATTCCTGAACGCAGATCGAAATAGCATCCTGAATAGGGCTCTTCGGCTTACGGTTTACGATCACTTTTGCGCAGGCACCAATCATGCAGAGGTCTCGAAGACAATAGCAGACACCAAGCGGATTGGGTACCAGGGTGTTATCCTGGGATATTCCAAGGAGACCGTATTGAACCCCAATGATCAATCATCAACAGATTCTATTTCTGCTAAGTATAGCGACCGGTGTTATGAAATGGTTGAGGAATGGAAGGAAGGAACCTTGACGACCTTACGCATGCTCGAGCCGGGGGATTTTCTGGCTGTAAAGTAAGTCTAATACCGCCGTTACTTTGAATCACCTGAGTACTGACGGTCCGTTCTGTAGATTGACAGGGGCCGGCCCGATTTCGGTAGATGCCATGGCAGCGCGTCAGCCAATGCCTGAGGTTGTGGCAAAAGCCGTGGACACGATCTGCGTCGCAACCGCACAGCAAGGCTCACGTCTCTGGCTCGACGCAGAGCAACAGGTACTCCAACCCGGATTGGATAAATGGGCCATCAAGATGATGCGCACGCATAATCGATCGGAGACGCCGGTAGTCTACAATACAATCCAAGGGTATCTCAAGGGGTCGAAGGCGAACGTCGACAAGCATATCAAGTTGGCAGCGCAAGAGGGATGGTCACTAGGGATCAAGCTGGTACGCGGGGCGTATATTGAGCATGAAAATCGTGCCTTGATCCACGACACCAAGGAAGAAACAGACCGTTCGTATGACATGATTGCAAACACGTTGCTTTGTCGACGACTACCGGCTGAAGTTGAGCATCTGCAGTTCCCACCTGTAGCCCTCTTTCTTGCCACTCACAATGCGGCTAGCACGGCAAAGGCTATCACTACGCACCAGGAACGTTTACTTGCAGGACAGCCTACAGTTAAACTCGAGTGCGGGCAGGTTCAAGGCATGGCGGATGAGCTGAGTTGTGAGTTGTTGCAGAAGTACGAGCATGCCCTAGTTCAATCGTCTGCTGCAGAGGTGTCTCTTCCAAAGACTTTGAAGTGTTTAACGTGGGGATCTGTGGCTGAGTGCATGGGATATCTACACCGACGGGCAATTGAAAACCGAGGCGCTGTAGAGCGAACACAGCATATGGCGGCCGCTATACGGGCAGAGATGTGGCGGAGACTCTTTGGGTGAGTCGATTACGAGTTGATACAACATGAAGGGTACTCTTAAACTAGAATCGAATACCTAGTAATTGTTAATTAAACATTGGCCATAATTTCACTGAACCTTGAGCCTCGTTCATTGTTATGCGTGTGGAGAACTTTTAGGGTACTTCAGGTCACGCACTCTATTACTTGATGAGGATAATCGCATACAATGACGTCATATAATAGGAACAACAGCCAATGGTCCAATGAGAGAGAATCTGATAAGGCAATCGCAACCCCGCACTTTGAGTTCCGATAGTGCGGGTACAAAAATCGGACACTGATCCCGACCTTTACTTTCGATTGTCATCGCCACTTTGCTCTCAACAATACATCGGCACTTGTGTCCGAAATGCCTCCAACTGAACGATCGAAGAAGAAAAGTCTTCGAGCGTGAGCAGAACTTCCCTATCCATTGTGTAGAGATGGTAGATGAATAACTAGATACATGCTAGATGTGAACGGTGTCGGTCGATGAAAGTGAAGTGTTCGGGATCACATCCCTGTTCACGATGTACTCGCAGAAATCGATCCTGTCACTTTCCAGTGGAGGAGGTTAGGGTCTCTGTTAGTGAACGGTGAGGGCATGAACAACGTCGGCAGAATCGTTGCACTAACACACGCCATTCTTCAACCTCAGCTATCTGAGAGACTTGGAGGAGCAGGCTACGAGGAGTGCAAGTTCCGGGCGGTATGTGACCTCTGCAGGCGCGGAGCATCAGGACCAGCCTCCCTTGAGGGGAAGTGAAGCTGTGGCATTTTCCCCGACTCCTAGTGCAACTCCGTACCTGCCGCCGGATGACCAGCGAACAGCTGGATGGCAGATAGCAGCCCACGGTAAGCAGGTTTTGTTCTGCGTTACCAAACATGCCTCGAGATCATTCTGCTTATAGTATTCTACTTAGTCCTTGAGAGCTAACGCATCTGATAGATTCTCCTACACGTAATCCTGGCAGAAGAGTTGACACTGGGAAGAGGCAAGAATGCCATGACTCGGAATTTTCGAAGAATCCATTGGTGGACAAAGAGGAATGGACCTTTGCTGCAACTCCAGACGGCCGATATTGTGAGATTTTTAAACTTCAGTGTCACTTGAAACACCACTAATGTAAACAACAACAAAAAAAAGGGTATATGGGCCCGTCATCCTCATGGTCCTTCTGTCGTCGCGTCCTGGCCTTGTTAGGGAAGCGAGTTCCTGAATCGAACTCTCCACCAGCTCCATGGCATCTGGATGGTATGGCATTCAAGTTACAATGGAAGCAAGTACCTCCCGAAGAACTGCCTGATGTCACCAATCTACCGCCCCTTGATTACGCGCTTTTTCTATACAATGCCGCCAAGTACTATCTCGTTTCTTTATCCTTCCTGATTGATGAGACACTATTCCTTCAAGAGTTGCATGAATTCTACCGGGATCCAGCAGCGAAGGCCGCCTCGCGTAGGTCTTGGTTCGCCCAGTATCTACTTGTGCTTGCCTTTGGAAAAGCCTGCATAACTCAAAGAAATCCATCTGGGTCTCCTGCTGGCCACCAGTATGCATCAAGCGCGATGGCTTTATTGCCTGACCTGTCGGGCATACACGAGGACCCTTTGACCTCGATTCAAGCTTTGAGCCTAGCAGCATTGTACTTCCAGTCAATTGACATGAGAAAAGCAGCATTTCAGCACGTAAGCTTCTGAATTGACGGGTACAAAAGATGTCCCTGCTTATTCACCTTTACTCTCTATTAGATCGGACAGGCTCTGCGTTGCTGTATTATCGAAGGCATACACAGACATGTACCGGAAGAGCTAGGTGGACCAGAATTTTCCCATCGCTGTCGGACTGTCTTTTGGGTAGTATACATGCTGGATAGAGAGTTCTCTGCATTGATGGGGGGACCAAACTCAATTCGCGATGAGGATATCACGGTCAAATTACCTGCAGACGTGGCATCAACCGTAGAAAATACCAACTTGACGTTGCATGTTCGGCTCGCGCGCCTCATGGCGCAAATATTGACAAGTGAGTCCGGTTGACGATCAGCTAATATGAGGCTCTATAAGAATTGACTAACGCAAACGAGTCAGCGGTCTATGGGGTGGACAGTGCATCTAATGGAGCGTTGATCAGAGATATTCAATCTATCCTTCATGCACTAGCTGATCTCTCTCACGATATCACGGAATTCTTGGATAACAGTTTTCATGGCATGGTTGGCCGAGGCTCGAAGATGGCGGTTAGACTGATGCTAGCCCAACATCATGTAAGTATACCTTGTATAAATCGTGCGTTTATTGTCGATACTAAGCAATTCCAAGTGTGTGGTTCTGACAACACGGCCTTTGGTTATGTGTGCTCTCAATATGCACATAGACCGTGCAGAGAGACAGCCGTCGCAAAGCATTTGCCTGTCGCCCCCTGTGGCATCCCTCTTGCAATGCTGCGCCGATTCTGCCCAGACTATCCTTCAAACTCTCCGATCATTAGCTGATGATGACTTGATGGGTATGTAGAGCTGTTTCCGCTTTCTTGCATAATGCCAGCCCTAACATCGAATGCGACAGATGCGTTTTTACCGTTCCAAGTCGAGCACGCTTCTTCATCTGCCTTTGTTTTGTACTTGATTCGTTCAATCGCACCCTCACTCATTGCGAATGAGTCCTGGTGTGATAACCTTGATTGTGTTATCGAAAAGCTTATCACAAAGGGCAACCTAGCGGCACCATTCCGGAAGTTGGAATTGAAGCATCTGGACCTTATGCTGACACCCTTAACACCGAGATCTGCAAACCATACAATGCTTCCAATAACTTCGGATGAGATCCACGATAGCAATGATGATACATATGCGCTGGATCATGTGGACATAGGGGATGAAGTTGCATGGGATTTGTTGGCGCTCAACCATTCTGTGAGCCTTCCACCAAGAGAGCTGCTAGATTTAGCAGATCAACTGGATGTGGACAGTATCATGCAGTCTATGGACTCTTGAGCAACGAGCTTTACCACCTAAATAAAGAATATATCACCATGATTTCTTAATGGAATCGGGAAGAAATGAAACTTTGATCATTTCCTCCAATCTGCCTAGCTTGCAATTCGATAGGGAGCCACTGTTGCGGTATAGTGGGAACGTTCAGTTCAGCGCGGAAAGAAAGATAAAGAAAACTTGACAAGTTGGGGTATCTAAACAACAGCAATGAAATCCACCTGAATCTCTACCCCAGCAGGCAATTTGGATACTTCCACCATAGACCGTGCCGGACGATGCGGAAATGCGGGATCATACACCGAGGCAAACTCAGGCATTATACTGGCATCTCTAACATAAACCTATAGTGACTCAAGAGGTTAAAATGATTACGGTGAAGGTGATAGAAGGATATCCAAGGGCTTGCGTGTTTAAAGGGCGCGTACAACCACTTTGACAACCCGGCCCAGTCCGGAGCCGGCCTCTTTAAGAATGGCTTCCGTATTCTGGATGATGACTTTGGTCTTCTCAACGGTTGAGCCCTTGATTAGATTACCTTGGGCGTCCGCAGGGATCTGACCGGAGAGCCAGACTTGGCCGCCGGCTTTGATTGCTTGGGACTGCATTTCATATTATTTGTCGGCGAGGTGCTTAGTGGGTTTACTCTGGGTCAACATACGTAGTGTGCGAAGGCTAGACAATAGTTAGCTTGCATGCCTTGAGTGGGTTTAGAGGTATTCTCACGGGCATATGCTTGATCGGTCTTCACACTTGTTACTGGGGTAAATATGCCTGCGGTGGTGGACATGGATCGATTCCCAAGGGCTGGACCCGGAACAGTGTAGAAAAGATGGCTGAGGGAAGGTATACTGCGGATAGCACGCGGAGAGAACATGCTTTGACTTAGGGATTACAAATTGCGGAAAGGAAAAGTGATAGCATAAACGGGCTAAACCCACGGGGTTTTGGAGGACTGGTGTTTCTATACCACCGAGTAGTCGGGATTGGGTGCCGGTTAGTCGGAGGACAGCTCCGACATCTTCTCATTTTTAACCACGTCTTAAACCGTCATTGTTACCAATCACAACCCCGTGCAATATATTCTAAAACTACACCTCACGGTTAAAATGATACGATCAAGAACTCTCGGACGCTTTCTGTCCACATAGTAAGCCTCTAGCCATTAGATCTACCTCCAAAAACTCAAGTCATAATTAACACAAAGCCAGCGCCACACCCACTCGCACAGCTCTCAAGTACCAACCACTCAGGAACCTCCGCCAAAGTTCCTCAATGGCAGCAACAGCAGCAGCAACAGCAGCAACAGCAGCAGCAACAGCAACAACACAAGAAAGCCAGAGTGACGCCGTACAAAAAAACTACAAAATAGTACAAGACGTCGGCAACTTCACCGCGACCGAAGCCCAACGTCCAGACTTCGACCACGCCAAGCACATTGAAACCACCAAATCGCCCTACCCGACCTGGGACTACGGACAGGGGGTACCCGACAACGGCGCCAGTCTATTGCAAGAGCATCACGAAGTAGACCCCTACGCACCGGACCGGCCCTCGGTGAACAACTACCGGCTCCTCGTCTCCGCCATCGCGCCCCGACCCGTCGGATTTCTCAGCACCGTAAATTCACAGGGCCAGAAGAATCTCTCCCCCTTCAGTTACTTCCAAGTCATTGACCATGACCCCCCGATGTTCATCGTCGGGTTCTCCTCCCGTCCGGGACGAGTGAAAGACACGTACCGCAATCTCAAGGAAACGGGCGAATGTGTGATCAACACGGTGTCCGAGAACATGATCGAAGCTGTTAATGCGACCTCGATCGATGCGCCGTATGGTGTTTCGGAGTGGGATGTTTCGGGTCTGCACGAGGCGCCCTCGACCACTGTTAAGCCGTCGCGCGTGAAGGAGTCGGTGTTCAGTGTCGAGGGTAAGGTGATCGATATTAAGGAGTTTGCGGATCATCAGCAGCCGGGGATGAGTATTGCTGCTACGGTGTTGATTAGGGCTACGCGGTTCTGGGTGAAGGAGGGGACTGCGGATGCGGATTTTAGCCATATTGATCTGGATAAGTTGAGGCCTGTGGGACAGTTGGGGGGCGTTTCTTATGGACGGGTTGTGTCGACTTTTGAACGGCCGAGGACGAAGTGGAGTAATGAAGTGGTGAAGAGTGAGTTGTTGGCTAGGCTGGAGGAGGAAAAGGGGGAGAATTGATAGACTCTTGTTTGTGGATAGATGATTTAGTATATAGTTGGCATTGTGTCGGTATTTTGTTTTCTGCGTTGGCCTGTCTCCTTTTTCTTTCTCTCTCTCTCTCCCTTTTTGTGGGTCTTCTCTAGATAGAGGTTGGATGTTGTTATGCTATATAGAACATGTTCGGATATAAACCTATATTAATATTTACCTTGTGCCTCACTTGAACACAATCCAATAAATTATGGTGACTAGACTTGTACAACTCCAGAAGCCAGAGATATTCGCAAATGTCAAACTGCATATGCTCTAGAACTCAAGTACAGCATAACTTGACCATGACTAGAACCTGCTTATAGTCTACCTAGTTAGATCCCTAGACTCAACACATCAATAAGAGAACTTTAACTCTTCACATTGCAAACACTCTCTACTAAACGCTGAACCAAACCCCCAACCTAACTTCCCCAGAACACTCACCCATCCACCCCAATAATCACAAATCACGAAACCGGCCCCCTCACAGCAGGAACATACTAAACAACACCGATATCAACACTAGACCTCCTAACAACCTGATTCCACAAAGGGTTACAGGGGGAGGGAGAGAGAGAGAGAGAGAGTAGGGCACACTCACAGGCCAAATCTGCACTTTCTCCAAATCCCATACCCCACTAGTAGCGTAGACATCCTTCTCAATAATCCACCGAACCTCGTCTTCATTCTCAGCAGTGTATACAACCATACTACCTTTAATTTGGATATCACTGGTCTCTGTGGGATGGGTTTCGAGGATTGCACCTGTTTTGTTTTGTGTTAGACATATCAGTGAGGTCTCATCAATGCTAGTGTAGTGTAGCGATGTATCCAGCTAATGGTGACATCGCCATAAGAATACGAGGTAGATAGGACAGGTCTTACCTCCATCAACAAGCTTTCCAGCGGCTATTAGCGGTTTTATTCCCTCGTAATGTGCACTGGTTATTAAAAGCCCGTGAGCATTGGTTCACTGGGTGCATTATAACTTATAGATAGGGTATGTAAGGGCAGGTCACAATAGATATGAGAACCTCACCCTTTTACTTGCTTCCTAAGCTCCAGAACATCGGGCTTATCGGGCATGATGCAGAGAAACTCTTTCTTCTGGGACATTGCTTTCGTTGAGAGCGATCTTGTGGTAATGGAGGGTGTTGTTAGTCGGATGAGGTGGGAGTGTGCTCTGCTGGCGAGCCTGGGGGCTAGACGGGTGGCCATTTGGTATGGTGTATATGATTGTGGTTCTAGGAATCTAGGTAGATAAGTGAATTTGTATTGTCTTTTGTGACCGGACTAGAGTTGAGGGGTTTGTTATGTATTATTACTATTATGGTCCATGTTGGATGTGTCGGTGTTTCATCCCGATGTATTGTTGAAGTTGAATTCCTCTCGGAGAGCGAGCCCGATGGTTGAGGGAGATTTAGGGTTAAGTGTCGGATTTACTTTGACTTTGTTTGATTCAGACTGCTGTGACTGCTCTTAACGTCTATAACTGCGTGAAACCGGGAATACCTAGCTATGTACATGTACTGTAACTAACAATGATAGGAACTTGAGTACTATAATATCTACAGCGTAATCACTGAACCCTTTGTGCTATGCGTTGATGCTCGTGAGTTTATTGAACAGTGTACTAAGACATTGTATCTGCAGTGAGTCTAGGATAAAAGGTGCTTATCGGATCTAGAGAATTCTACTTCATATATCATACTGCGATCAAAGCCCTTAAGCGATGGATTATAAAAAGTATAAGTTGAAGCCCGGCAAAGTCGGCAACCGTTTCATGGACGAAGAATATGTACTGTACAAACTGACATCTACCATGCACGAGATGGCCAGGAGGAAAATCAGAAATAGGACTGAAAAATTAAAGTACATCCGAAACAAAACTCGCGCTCAGTCAACGGCAATAAAGTTCATATATAATAAATAATAATCGGAGAGCAGCGAGAAAATAGTCGCTGCAGTAGGATATACCCACATTCAGAATGAGGACCGTCGTTTTGACTCAGTCCTATCTGTTTTGGCTGCCAGCGCCGTTCCCTGATGATGCGGTTCTCTTTCCGCTATTAATTTGAGCCGCAATCTGGCTCTGTTTGAATTTCTCAAAGGTTTCTGCATCTTGCTTATGAGCTGCCCATAGCTCTTCTACAGTTGTGCCTAACTGCTCGAACGTCTTGTCTGCACCCACGCCGTCAAAATGGGAGTGTTCCTGCTCCTCCTGCAGACGTTCGAGTTTTTCGCGGAGGGCAGCAATGTGTGCATCATCTAGGGCGAGAGATGAATCATCGCCTTGGTCGAATGAGGGATTAAGAAAGTCGCGGCGAAGGTTCTGGCCAAGCCGATGGACATGGCCTTCTTCGGAGGTCATTGCACGCGAATGAAGAGAAGTCATCGAGCTTGCTCGCGATATGCCCAAGGCGTACTGATCGGCATCTTCATCATCAATAGCACACTCGTCGCCTTGATCGGTGATCGGTTGAGTGCCGAATGTAGTCCCACCATTTACGTCGTCACCTGAATTCTGCGAGCTGGAATCCGGAGCTGTAAAGACCGGTTGTGGTATGATCCGCGTCTCTGGGTACTCGTCCTCGAATCGCTGAATCATCCTATGCAGGGTGAAATCAAGGAATTGAAGACGTCCTAACGTAGAAACAGAAGTGTTAGCATTACTATCAGCTCACAGATGCAACGTGCGGACGTACTGTAATTAATGTCGTTGCCGGCTCTATCCTCACGGACAAGAGCCGATTGAATCCTCGTCCGAATATTCCGGGCGGATTCAAGTAAGTTCTTCGACATATCACGGGGCCTTTTCGCCACATAAGACCGGGACTTCCTGTGTCTAGGCGTTGTCGTACCACTGGGTGGGCCAGACTGATCGCCGGGCATATGATGATCCAGGTTACCAAGACAAACCCCCAGAGCTTTGACCACACCGGTTCCTCCAATGACATAGTCTTCATCAGGAGCTGGCTCATCATCTTCCTCGCCAACTTCATCCCCGCCGCCATGGCCAACAATATGTTGCAGGATCTCCGGCACATGAACGGTCTCACGTGCACAGGACGGGTCACCAGGCACAGACAGATCCCCTTCAATAGCACCTCGTTCGAGGTTTTGAAGAGAATAGGCCACGATCTGAGAGGCGAGAGCCTTCACAACTTCATTGTTTTCTGCACTCGGGACTTCGATTTCCACTGCTATGATCGTCCGCGACACACGTACTGCTGCCATTATGGAGGCGTAAACAGCGCAGGCTTCCTCCTGGTTACTTGAGTCTGTTGCAGCAGCTAGCGCACTGATGGCGGGATTCTCCAAGATGCTCAGATGGCACAATCTAGGGCATTCGGGAAGGACTTCAGCAAGAGCGATGGCATGGTCGGCTGACAAATTCACATCAGCCAAATGGATGCGCTTCAATGAGGGCATTTTTGGGAGGAAACGCCGGAAAGTCGCTAGAGCATCAGGCTGGCTGGAGAAGAGCTCTGGATTATGGGAGAAGTCAATGAATAGGAGATTAGGAAGGCGACTCAGTGCTTGTAGCAAAGGACTAATGGCAGTTGGGGTAAGAGCGCAGTCGGCAAGGCTCAGCGCGTAAAGGTTGGTGTCTTTTTCAATTGCCGATGTAATTAAGTCCAAATGATCTCGGATGGGATTACCACCAAGATCAAGTCCTTCGCATTTGCTTGATTTAAGATATCGAATAACATGTTCCAAGCCTTCTCGATTCAGCTCGTTGTTCGCGAAGCCAAGCCTCCTCAAGCCGAGAGTCGTGGCTGCATCGCAGATCTTCTTCACCTCCTCTGTTGTGGGTTTGCACTCGCTCAGCAAGAGTTCCTCAAGATGATCACCACCGAAGCGCCGAGAAAGGGAATTAGCGAATACAGTCGCAACATCCGCCGCGGAACCAGTAGCACATGAGGTTTTTGAAAGCTGACCATTCAGATCATGAGTTGTGATAGGTGTCTTCGGAAGTGGTATACCTGACAGGTCAATGGCCTTTAAGGATTTCGAGAGGTGAACGAACAGGCAAATGTGACGCCAGCCTTCCTTGCCGATCTTTGGGTTATCTTTGAGGGATAGTTTCTCTACTACACTATTTCTCTCTTCTTTCGCCGAATCCTGAGAACCTAACTTTCCTGTTCGCCTGCGTCTCTGCCTCATCTGCTCCACTGTTTTTGTGGAAAGCAGGGCAGCAAGAATTGACCGCACCGAGTCATCTGTCAAAGCACACTTTTCCAGAATAATCTTTCGGACAGGGACTACAGCTAGCCAGTCACTGAAAGTGGCCATGTCCTGAGCGGTCATGGGAAAGTTGGTAAGATCGAGGACACCAACCGTTCCTGGAGATTCCGCGAGGATGGAGGAAGGCGCGGAGATTTCATCAACTATTCTTTTCAGCACAGGCGTCTCCCGTAACTGGCAGCAGCGTCTGTATATCCGTACGGGGTCTGTCGTCGGGTGGCTCTGCGTTCTAGAGCGCGGGTTACCGGGCAGAGGCACGGGGGGATGGTCCTCATGGTCATCGGCAGTTAATTGTAGAGGAATAGAACCATTCGCCTCTGCTTGTCTCCGTCTCCTCTCCTTGCGCTCCTTCCTTTCCTCCTCCGATCTCTTCTTCTTCTCTTGTTTTCTGGACGGCTCCTTGGCTTCACCGTTCACTTTGGCATCACTGGGGTTGGCTTCCGGTTGACTAGCTTGTTTTTCCTTATCCGCCAACACTGTCTGCGGATGCTTTAAAGCAGAGCCTTCGTCTTTATCTTTCGACTTGGTGCCGGACTTTTTCGATTTTCCATTCAGATCAGGGACGATCCGCTGTTTGGCATTGGCAGGGCTACTTTCATCGTCGGATTCTCGGCGAGAGATTCCCGCAATCTCAACATCTACACAAAATGCAACGCGTCGTAATTTGGCCTGGTCCAAGTCTGGGATCTTACACCTGTCCCGGCCCCGGTCAATGTTCATAACGCGACGCTCGCAGACAACGCCATTTGTAGCCAACTTGCCCGATCCGCCCGATGCAGAAGATGACAGTTTTCGAAAGGCATTCTGAAGAAACGAGGGGCCCTTAGGGGAGGTGGAAGCAAACGGATTTGGTTCGTCTCTTCTTTCATCGTCTTTGTCC